CAGACTAATAACAACTGCTCTGCTCTTTCTTTCTTTCTTTCTTTCTTTCTTTCCCCCTTTTTTTACTTTCCCAGGGCCCTCGAACTAGCAGCCTACTAACCGCTGCAGCTAGACGGGTAAGTTAGGAATTGAAGACTCGAGAGTGGCCTCAGACGATCTGAGCGGGAACGCTTTGCGAAAAAGTTTGGCCTATGAGAATATATGTCCAAATGCTGGGCAAGGGGGGACGTTGCTCGTCTCGGGGGACTTTTTTTTTTTTTTTTTTTTTTTTTTTTTTTTTTTTTTTTCCCTTTTGCATCTTCCGTCATCTGTGGTTACTCTTTAGTGAGGGAAGAGAAGGGAAGGGAAACGGAGTTAGGTTGGGAACATACAGAAGGCGATCTTGCCATGCTTATGATAAATAGAGCTCGATGCCCTCCACCCACTTTTCTGCAATATAAATTATACTATGCGGTATTGGTATTTGTACTCATATTTTGAATTGAGTACAGAGTACGGAGTAGGTATGGTATGCTGGAAGTTTGTGAGCTCTCTTTGAGTAAACCTTTTTCACCCTTGAACCTTGTCCGAATCCCAGATGACCTCCCCTCCCCCCTCCCGAAGCAAGCATGACCTCAACTGGCACCAAGCTTCCCTGACATCTTTTATTATGTATCCGTCTATGCCTATAATTGACAACCGTCTTGTCCATGGCGCCAGGGGTGACTGACTGACTGACTGGCTGGTTGGCTGCCCTGGTCGGGACCGAATGACGGGCATATTTTCGGCCCAATAATAATATCCAATGCAATCCAAGGCAATTGCAATCCCCCCCTTCTCTCCCAAGCTCGGTTTATCCACTGCGAGGAGCTAACTTTTCCACAGCCTCTCTGTTGGCCTGCTGGGGTTTTTTTGATACAGCGCAGGGGAGGAAGAGAGAGAGAGAGAGAGAGAGAGAGGAGAGAGAACAAGGTACCAGGTAGGTACCAAACTACTCCAGTGACCGTACGGAGTATATAGAAGAGAACAAGACCACACAACCTGCAATTGTTGCAATATGGGTCAGGGTATGTTCCCACCTACTCACCCCCCCCCCCCCCCCCCCCTCCCCCCCTTTTTATCTGAAGGCCCGGAAGAAATGAATTTCACATTGGGAACGAAATTTAATTCCTCCGGGCTGGGTTCCCCAAAACGGGAACTACACACCTAACATCAACATCTATACCGATTTTCTATCTCGCCTAGCGTACAGTACATGTACATGTACATACTTGTCCCTAGGTACTCTCGTGCGACACAAATTATATCTCGTCACTGTTTCTGTACCAGGCTATAAGGTATAAAAAACATTTTTTTGTCTTGTCTTGTCTTTTGTCTGTTTCTTGATGACGGAGTTGAGTGACGATATGTTTTGTAACTATTGGCCGCGGAGCAAGTGGGGGGTGGGGGGTTTGTGGGAAGGAAGAAAGAAACTAACGCCGCTAGTTAATTGCCTTTTTTTTTTCTTTTTATGCTAGCTGGTTGTTCACTCCTGAGCACTGACGTACGTTACAGCTAACTATTTACAGCTTTTTCGTTTTTGGAGGCAGGGTTAGGAGCAGTAGCAGTTGGCAGTAGCAAGTGGCAGTAGCAGCAGTAGCAGCAGTAGCAGCTTCTATGGAAGTTCCCCTTTTTCTTTATTTTATTTCCTTATTTATTTTTTACTCATGGATACTCCCCATGTGTATTATTTATTCTGAATAATATGGATGGTTAGGTTAGTTGGTAACTAGTTACCGGAAGATGTTTCGAGCACAAAATTCCCCAATTGTTTCTTTCTGTGCCAAGCCCGAGGTTGGATTCACCGGGTTCCAATCTCTCTAATAATAATACTACTAATAATCAACGACTTTAAAACATACATGGCCTACCCTAGTTACCGTAAAGATGGAAGAAGATTTGGGCGTGCCCGAGCAACCCGTGGGAAAAAAGGGGGATTTGGTATCATTGGTCAAAGGGAAAAGGGAAACTGTTCTGCCGAATCGGTTTTTTTACAGTCAGTAATAATAATAATAATAAGAAGAAGTCAAACTTGGTCGCATCCAGAAACTTCCCGTAGATAGCTACAAAGAGTTGGAAGCTAACCCCATGGATTTTTTTTTTTTTTTTTGTTCATTGATCAAATCAATAATAATCAATTGAGAATGAATATTGGTCGGTAGAACTTATATTATCCTTGATAGAGCAAATCAAGCTGCCCTTTCTTTCTCTTTCTTTCCAGCAGCGTAGCAAAATATCACTTGAAAAAAGCAATCATTTCTTTCTACGCTCTCGCGCGGCGGGAATGGCGGGGGAGGGGGTGGCGTGCGATTATTAGCAACCACACGACAATCGGCTTCAAGGAGTCAATCAAGGGCGCGGATGTACTGTGTATGTATTAATTCATTTATCAATTTTACCGTTCCGTTCCTGCAACCTTCTTCCTCCCTCTCTCTCTCTCTCTCTCTCTCTTTTTTTTTTTTTTTTTTTTTTTTTTTTTTTTTGCATTTACTCGGCACTTCCACTGGATCCATTTTCGGCTTCGGTTAGTGATTATTGATTATTGCAAACCTCACTCCAGCGTTTAATGGATTCATTTCACTTCCTTGATTGGCTGAACAAACACACACACAACACACATGCCCTGTGCCCATTTTGAAGACAGTGTGTTCGTTGCATTTGCATCGCTGGTGCATTCGTTTTTGTATTCACTTGTATACAGTTTAGGAGAGAGGGGCGGGCTGGACTGAGAGGAATGAAGGAAGGAAGGAAAAAGGAATAATGGCTTGCATTGGTTAGTTTGGTTCAGCTATTCTGAAGCAGATATGGGATGAAACATGTGTTCGTGCCAGTTCGTGGCCTATTTTTCTTTTTTTTTTTTTCCCTCCCGTATCCGCTCAACTGGTTTTGGTTCGGGTCATTATTGCTCTTCTCTTCTTCTTCTTCTTCTTCTCCCGCAAATGAAAAAGGGGAACGAGGGGGTTATATATTTTTAATTTTCAACTCTTGGTCATAGCCAACCAGCCAGTCATCAGTCATCAGTCAGCCACGCACAGAAAAGAGTTACCTAGACGAGATCGACGCCCTCAAATAACCAGATATGAAGTCATCACCAACCAACTCAACGATCTCTTTATTTTAGTTAACCCAACCCAACTCAAGAACAGTACATATAGGCATACATACACTACTCCAATGTGAAAACGGGAGAGAAAGAAAGAAAGAAAGAAAGAAAGAAAGAAAGAAAGAAAGAAAGAGGACAAAAATAGATGTCTATAAGCCCTGTGCTGGCATTCATTGTGAGAATTTATTTGAGTATAAAATAATGTTGATGTGATATAGCTCACGCTTGCGAGCTACATACTACGTACATACATCAGTAAGAGGATGGATTAAGCTATGAAAAAAAAAAAAAAAAAAAAAAAAAAAAAAAAAGGTCGGTAACTAGATATAGGTACGGACTACAGAGAAGACTTACATACTATAGTCTATAAGATGACAGGCAGACAGCAGAGATCCCTGCTGTCTGCTCACGTTGATGACAAGCTGCAGCTGCAACTGCAGCACAGCCACCTTGATGGTTTATTTTCGCTCCATCCAAAGGCAGGGGCAAAAGGGGGTGCCCGAAGAGGAGGAGGGGGGGGAGGGAGGACGAGTTAAATAATGACAACGAATAACTAGCAAGTGACATTATTAGGGTTTCGTCGTTTCCCTGAAATAATATCGGCCAATATGACAGGGCGCCCTTTTTTTTTTTTTTTTTTTTTCCCTTCGGGAAGCCGGGAGTAGAGGGAGGGGGGGTAGGTTGGACACTACGACGCTGCAGGTAGGAGGTGGCTTTTTTAAGTGATGTGAGGGCTTTTTGAAGACCGCAGAGTCGAAGGATTATATGAATGTTATTTTAATCGTTCACCACAGCACAGGAACCTCTCATAGAGAGAGAGAGAGAGAGAGATGATATTTGATATTTCTCTCTCTTCTCTGCCCCTGGTGAATGGCTAATCCTCCCTTGATATAGCTGTTATTAGTTAGCTGTACAAGTTATTAGCTTGTCAAGCTGTAGCTGTTTAACTAGCCCTTTCAAGCTTTTTCCCTTAGTATATATAATATATATATATATATACATATATATATCCAAACTCAATGGGATCTGGCACTCCGTATATTACCTTGGTCCCATCCAAAAAATGTCCCCCGATTAGGTTTTTTCTTTTCTTTTTTTTTTTTGCGGCTCACCTGACCATTGCTGGGGACGCCACTTAGCTAATAATGTTTGCGTAGAGAGTAGTAGGGAAGCTGTCTGTCTGCGAGCTGCCACCCATCCATGGGGAATATCCGCGTGACTTGTCACGGGGGTGTCGGTGTTGTCATTATTTCGCGGGTGGGTGCAGGTTAGTAACAATATTGGGCTGTATTAAGTGTAAGGAGGAGAGAGGGAGAGAGGGCGGAAGGAGACACAGGACAGGATATTTGATATTAAATGGAGATAGATATAGATATTGTGTCTGGGATAAAAGCATTTATAAACTATTTGAAGCTTTGAATAATAATAATAATAATAATAATAATAAGTTAGTTAACTACTCCGTACCTTACAGCGTAACTAATTGTCAACTCACTTACTCCATAGCTAAATCGAACTAATAATTACAATGCATTTTGAAAATACAGCGAATAATACGCAGAATGAATATCCACGCCAATAATAGCCACGAGGGAATCCCCACTGCCACGGCCCACGCCCGCCGCCTGCGCCCAAGCCCCAGCGTGACCTGGGCTTTTCCTCTCTGCCTTTGCCCTCCCAGCACAGTCCGTCCCACAAGACGGCAGACGCACGTAGCGTAGCAGCCATACGATACGGTGATATAGCAGAACACAGCAGCAGACCAGCAGACCGGCAGACACCGCGAGAGGACACAAGAGATACACACAGACACAGCTGCTGCTCAACACCTACAACAGAGCAACAGGCCAGAAAGAGAGAGAGAGAGAGAGAGAGAGAGAGAGAGAGAGAGAGAGAGAGAGAGAGAGAGAAGGGGGGGAAAAGATCAAAAGCCAAGCAAGCATCTCTCTTGTGTGGGGTTATTTATTATTATTATTACTTGGTGTGTAACTACCGCCCCCAAAGGCAGGAAGAGTGAGTCGAGTCGAGTCGTGTATTATTATTATTATTATTATTATTATTATTATGTGCAGCGAGTGAGTATTTCTTCCTTCCCCGTCGCTTGGGTTGTTCCCGTGTCCTGTCTGTCCTGTCCTGTCCTGTCCCTTTTGTCCTGTCAGCCCGGTCGGTTTGTTTAGTGAGCTCTCTTCCTCTTCCTTCGCCCCAACCACTACCACCACTACCACCACCACCAACCACTACCACCACTAAACAGTTATACCCTACCTGCCCTACGGCCCCTACCTACCTACCCTTCCACTCCCACTCACTCCCACTCCCACTTCCACTACTCCCCTCCAACCACTCACTCCTCTTCCTCCATTTCCTCCTCCTCCTCTTCCTCCGCCTCCGCCTCCCCCTCCCCCTCCGACCTCTCCTGTTCCTATTCCTAGCATCCACCCATCGATCTATCTACCTTAACACCCTGCCTCTGCTGGCTGTTATCGCTCCTCTCCTCGACTTTCCTCCCCCTCCCTTTGGCCTGCTCCCGCGTCTCCGCCATTCATTCTTCCTCCATCAACGTCACCTCTAGCAAACTAGCCAGCCTATTCCACCACCAAACTCCTCCACCACACTCCTCCACTACTTACTCTTCCTCTTCACCACCACCACCACCTTCTTCGTACTCATCGTTCGTCCATTATTACATACCTTTCTCCTCCCATCACCGCTTCTACTGCCACTCGCGCCACTACCCTACTACGGCTCCTTTCACCTACACCTGCGCCTTGTCCTGTCCCGCTCCCCTAACAACCATACTACCACCTACCTCTTCTCGCCCATCTGCTCCTGTACCCCCCTCTCTGTAACCACAGTGACTGTAGCCTTGGTCTCTTCCTCTTTCATCATTGTCTTGTCTTCAAGCTTATTCTCTTGTGTCTGTTTCAATTCAAAACACATACACACACACACACACACACACACACACAAACACACAGAGGGAGAGAGAGAGAGACAGAGAGAGACACAGACACACAGAGGCAGAGAATATCCACAAACCATTCACAAAACATTCCTTCATTCAATCATTCACTCAATTCGCTCTCCTCCTCATATCTCTCTATCTAACCCACGCTTTCTCCTCTTCCCGCGACTTGTGTTGATTCGACAGGTCGTAGATCGCCACAGTTGTCATTTAAAAATCACCACGCCTTAGTTTCGTTTCGCCCAAGACGGGTCTCCACACGCATCCCCTCCCTGCCACCTGCCGCCATTCTTTGCTCAACTGCAGCCCTCCATACTCTCGATAGCCCTGAACCTGAATACCACTCTCCTACCGTCCGCGAACCGACGACAACAACGGCGGCGACGGCGGCGAAACCAAAAATCAACGGAAGAGTATAGTACAATAGCGCTTCTTTCTATATTCCTCTCGGGCACTGGGGGCTCTCAGACCGAGTCATGTCACAAAATCGTCCAGGGGTGTTTTCGAGCTTACGAATGGGGGGTACGTTTATTTTTTCTATCACTATCTATATATTAGCCGCCGAATATTTGCTAACACTGACTCCCCCCCCTTTTTTTTTCTACTTACAGAAGTAATTCGTGAGAAGGTGCAGGATGGGTTGACAGGAGAGACAAGGGATATGCAATATACCCAATGCAAGATTGTGGGAAATGGTTCATTTGGTGTGGTCTTTCAAACCAAGATTGCTCCCTCTGGCGAGGATGCAGCCATCAAAAGAGTGTTGCAGGACAAACGCTTCAAGGTTGGTTCCTAATCTAATAATACAAAATTGTGAATCTGTTTCTACGAACTGCGCTAAATGACTCTTCTCTTCTCCTTGCTATAGAACCGCGAACTGCAGATCATGCGCATTGTACGGCATCCAAATATCGTCCAGCTGAAGGCTTTTTACTATTCCAACGGAGAAAGAGTAAGCTCCTGCATCCTCTCTCCCCCTCCTCCCCAACTCTTTTGTCTTTTCACACGATTATTATCATGTTTTACAAGGAGTATCCCGTCTGACACAAGTTAACCCTTCTCTCTGTTTTCACATGATATAGAAAGACGAGGTCTACCTTAACCTTGTCCTCGAATTCGTTCCCGAGACTGTCTACCGTGCATCCCGTTATTTCAGCAAGATGAAGACAACCATGCCTATGCTGGAAGTAAAGCTTTACATCTACCAGTTGTTCCGCTCTCTGGCATATATACATTCCCAGGGTATCTGCCATCGTGACATCAAACCGCAAAATCTCCTACTGGACCCCAACACGGGGATTCTGAAACTCTGCGATTTTGGCAGCGCCAAGATCCTCGTCGAAAACGAACCGAACGTGTCATACATCTGCTCCCGTTACTATCGTTCACCGGAACTCATTTTCGGTGCAACCAACTACACCACAAAGATTGGTAAGCTGCAACAACTATGTCCCTCGTTTGCCCCCTCCGCTACCCTAATTTATTTCCCCCACAAAGTTACGCCCTGTCTCTGACCACTTTTACAGATGTGTGGTCGACCGGATGTGTTATGGCGGAATTGATGCTCGGTCAACCCCTCTTCCCTGGCGAATCAGGCATTGACCAATTGGTGGAGATCATCAAGGTGCTTGGAACTCCCACTCGTGAACAAATTCGAACCATGAATCCGAACTACATGGAACACAAGTTCCCGCAGATCAAGCCACATCCATTCAACAAGGTAAAACTTCGATTTTATTTTGTTTCTCAAGCGGACTGAAACACTGACGCGCGGTAAAAAAAGGTCTTCCGCAAAGCTCCTCCTGAAGCGATCGATCTCATCACAGCGCTCCTCGAGTATACCCCTACTCAACGCCTTTCAGCGGTCGAGGCTATGTGCCATCCATTCTTCGATGAGCTTCGGGACCCCAACACTCGTCTGCCAGATTCCCGTCATCCGAACAACCCTCCGAGACAACTTCCTAACTTGTTCGATTTCTCGCGCCATGGTAAGGAATTTCTTCTAGTATATTCTTCATATATCCCGTGCTAACAATGATTCTATATAGAGCTTTCGATCCTGCCAAGCATGAACAGTAGGTTGATCCCTGCTCATGCACAGGCTGACCTCCTCGCTCGTGGTATCGATCTCGATAATTTCACGCCGCTTACGAAAGATGAAATGCTAGCCCACCTTGATTGAGTCGACATGGGTTAAAGTGTCACGAAATTCTAACATGCTTGTTCAAAAGCGCTATCGCTATCACGGTGCGCGCGATCCTTTCAAAAAAATTTCAATTTGCCTCAGCGGGAGATCCGAATTCATGCATGGGGTGGTCGTCTTTGTTTAGCTTTCCTTTTTTCTCTTGTTTCTCTCCTCCTTCCTTTTGCTCTTTAACTTCTTTTACACATCCAACAAAGCCAAAGTTTTCCTTGAATATGTTTTAGACCCTGACGTCGAACAAAAACCTTTCGGGAACATTCGACATCCTCAGGAAGGAGGAAGAAAGGGAGCAAAAAGTACCATCCATGTTTTTTTCATGACGGACTCACGTGGCAATGAATCGACGACCTCGAGAATGAATGTAGTAGGGCCACACACGGAGAGAGTGTGTACGAAATGCGTGGTGATTATTGGGAATTGGGAATATGTGTTTTCGCACAGACTCCCAGACGGGGAAACAAGCGAACGAAACGGGAACGAAGGGGGAAAATCGAAACAAAACAAAAAAAATGACAAAAAAAATAATAATTTGATACCCCACCACCCCCAGAACCACCCACCACCCGGCACGAATTCTTTGTTTTATTTTCATTTTTCAGTTTCATTTTAATTTTTTATTTCTTTACTGGGGATCCTTTGTTGAAATGGGGTTGTTATTGCGTTTTGTATTTTGTGCTTTGAAATGCGCCAGTTTTATTACTCGGCTTAGCGTTTACATGGGACATGGAAGGGTACCTGATGAAGGGAACGGGTTGATTGGGGGAGGGGAAGGAAAGGGGAAGGGAACGGTGAGGGGATGGGGAGAGCGAGAGGGATGGTTTACAGTGCAAAGCGGAGGGGATCAGGGGAGTTGTTCTGAGGAGGGTTGTGGGAGCAGGTATACCTAAATGTATTCACTCCGCCTGTTCTATCATCATTTTTCTTTTCACCTTTCTTTCTTCCACTCTGTTTTTCTTTGCTATTGGACTTTTCCCTTGACAAGAAAAGACGGCTAGGTGGATAGGATAAAGGCGTATTCGTATCGTATCGTGATGGATGGGGGGGGGTATGCAAGGGGAGCTGGGAGTGGAGATTGAGGACATGTGGATACTGGGGATGGAGATGGAGGAGATAGGATAGGGGGCCATCCATATAGGGGGCGGGGACAAGGGGCGGGTGGGAAGCTGAGAGAAACACGGAGAGAGGGATACAAAGCCTCCCTACTACTACCCTATATACCTAGTGCCTTGACTAGTAACTAGCATTTCCCCCCCTTTTTTTATGAAACGTTATGCCAATGTTATTATATTATTATTATTATCATTGAATGTTTTTTACCTCTTCTTTTTGCCCTTTTTTTATTTTTTCTTTCACTTTTGTGTGTATTCTCAAATTTTTTTTAAATTCTGTTTTTATTTTTATTTTCACTTCTACATTTTTATTTTACTATTATTTTTATTATTATTATTATTATTCAACTTTCAAGCCGAAAGCTGAGCCTCTTGTGATATATTTATTATTTTTTCAGTCTTGTGATGAAAAAGGGGCAGAAATAACTAGAAGAAATATGACTGCTTGTGTGTGGTTGATTCATTATTGTGAGAACAAATGACAAAGTAATAAGAGTCAAGAAATAAATAAATAAATAAATAAATAAACTATAGTTTTGCTTCTCCATTCCTCACGAAAGGGCATACATACATGTATATGTTATGTTGTACCGAGAGAGAGCCACATCACATAGTACTACGGAGTATAGTTAGTTACTACTATTTACTATGCATATCAATACAAATGTTGGATGAAGTCCGGGTCCGGATAAATTTACCTCCGTGTCTGCACCGAACGAAGCTTCGGAACAATTTGATTTTCCCTCCTCTAGTTATTTATTATGTCTATCTATCACCTCTCTCCTTGCGCGATTTGCGTCTCTTCTCGCTTTTCTTTCTCTCCTTGCGAATCCAATCCGATCCCGTTCTTTGGAATTGGAAAAGAGAGAGTCTTTTCCCCCTCAATCTCTCTCTCCCTACCCAATTCACCCATAGGTAGGGTAGGTCTGATTCGTCGCGTGCGTGCGTACCTTAGGCTGCGGTTGGTTGGTTGGCTTAGTTACACCTAACTACTTACTTATTTACTTTTACTTTCTCTCTACGGGAGTATCTAACCTACCTAATCTATGTATGTACTGTACAATAATAGATACGACGCGCGCGCGAAACTCGATCGATCCGCATTTCGCCCTCTCCCCTTCCTTTATTTTTTAAAGCTACACGCTGTTATATAAACACCAAAACCCCCGATTCCGTGTCGTCTTTCTTTGTTTAGAGTTCCGCTTCGCTTCGTGTTTGCGTTTTCTCCGGGACGGCTTTTTCGTTAGCCGGTTTTTTGTCCTTCTTCTTTTCGAATTCGAATGCGAATTTCGAGTTGGTTAGCTGTGCTGAAGCCCCATTTTGCATTTGTTGAAGGGGGCCCGCTTTGTGAAGCTAGCTGCGTAAGTTGCGATAGGCTGTCGAACCTCTGGTGAGGGTTGAGGAGGGAGAGCGCGCTTTTCTCGGTATGGGTGTCTGTGTGTCTGTGTACATGCGGGGCTGGCTGGCTGGCTTACTGACTGACTGACTGGGACACGCGGGCAAACAGGTGCCGGGGAAGAAAAGAAAAATAAAGGATAGGAAAGAAGGCATACATACATACGTACGCTCAGGATGGTGGATTATGAATCTCGCGGGCCGCGCGGCGGGTATAACCGGAAGAGGCGATATCGAGGTGTGTTTTCTATTCATTCTTATGGCCCCGTTTCCATGTTGCGCAGAGGGAAAGGGGGGAGGGTTGGCTACGGCTGAGGAAGATATTATATTTATATATACAAGATGCGCGGGGACTAATCTAATTGACATTGTTTTGCGATTAGATGACGATGATTACGATCGCAGACAGCAGCGCCGGAGGTACGAGGAACCCCTCGCTGTGACGGTGCGGAAACAATTGGCGACGATCGCCGAGTCGGTAAGTCGATTTGTATCTTTGTTACTAGTCGGACGACGTGGGTTTTCACGCGGGATATACGGGCTAAATTAGTTGTTTCTTGGGCGGTATCTTGCAGGCTGTAAGGAGAGCTGAAGACGACGTTGTGCGGATTGCGAAGACCATGTCGGAACACTATGATGATGAGGATGAGGAGGTTAAGAATACGTTTGTGAGCTTGGTTCTGCAGCTGTACGTTGTTGATAAGAATTTCCTCCGTTTGCCCCCCCGTGGTAAAAAACAGTACCAACACTTCGCACCCGAGAAGCTCGTTAAGCTGATATAACTAATGCGATTTTCTTTTTTCTTTTACCTCGGAGTATAGCGTCGGCGAGCAACCGCTTAAAATCCCCTTCGTTGCTGCGACGGTGCTCACGGCCAACACGATGAAGCCGGAGTTGGCGGCGGAGGTGCTAAAGAAGGCCGGGGAAATTGCCCAGTCACATATTGAGGCGGGTAACTGGCGCAATGTCAAGCTCATGCTGCGGTTTTTGGCCTGCTTGCAGGGCCTGTTCGAGGGCGAAGGCATCTTTCCGGTACTGGAGGAGCTGTTTTCTCGCGCTGTCGATTTGCAGACGGCTTCTTCTGAGGATGTAAGTTATTTTCTTCATTTTCTTTGCTTCCCTGTATACATGTTTTTTTTTGTGGTTTTTAATTTGAGCGGTTCATGCTGATTTATCTATTTATTTATATTGTAGTCACTGGGCTTGGAACTTGTAAAGATCATCCTTTTCACAATCCCTTATGTCATGTCGTCATCTGCTTCTGGCTTTGAAACACAGGCTGCCGCCCTTTTGGAGAAAACGGACATCATCGCCTCAACGCCACATACTTTGGAGGCACTGGTTGACCCCTTCCCGTCTGACGAGGTGAAGGAGGAGAAAAGAATGAGCGTCATCGGCCTTCTACAGAAGCAGCTACAGGAAGAAGGAAAGCAGGGCTGGGAACTTACATGCATACCACGCCCCTGGACGGGGCTGATGCCAACGACCAAACCAGAAGCAATGCCCGAAGGGAACGAAGAAAAAGCAGGGGAGACGAAAGAAGAGAAAGAAGAAAAGGAACCCGAAGACCCCCTCAAGAATGCCACCAAGCACGTATTCCCCACAATCACTGTGCCCAACCCAGTCCCCAACGGGCCCAAATCTATCTTCCCAGACGTCTACTTCTCCGTCTACTTCGACCAGGACCTAGAAACCGTCCCGCCAACCACTGACATTGCCGCCTCTTTACTCCGCGATTCCCTCACCGACACAATCGACATGCTCGACTTTAACCGCATCGCCACCGCCAAATTCCTCATTGACGTCGATTGTTATTTCGCGCCCAAGACCTTCATCAAGCGCGCCACCCCCTTCGACAAGATCCGCGACGCTGTTGCGGCGGGTACCGCTGATCGCTCGACCTGGAAGCCCGAAGATGTCGCTGTTGACGCGGTGTTCTCGTTGCTCTTTCAGCTCCCTACGCCGCAGCATAAGCTGGTCTACTACCACTCTGTGCTCACGGAGGCGTGCAAGATTGCGCCTGCGGCCATTGCGCCGAGTCTGGGGAGGGCGATTCGTTATTTGTATAAGAATGTGGAGAGGATGGATCTCACGCTGTCGTATAGGTTTTTGGATTGGTTTGCGCATCATTTGAGTAATTTTGGCTTTACGTGGAAGTGGACGGAGTGGTAGGATCCCTCTCCAGCCTTTTTGCTGATAGAAGGAAGATGAACACTCTCTACAGCTTGCTGACATTGTACACAGGGTTGACGACGTTGAACTGCCAGCCGTTCACCCCAAGAAAGCATTTATCTGCGGCGCACTGGATAAGGAGATCCGTCTAAGCTTTGCGCAGCGAATCAAGGGCACCTTGCCAGAACCATACCAGGCGTTGATATCCGAAGGGAAAGAGAAAGATACACCGGAGTTCAAATATGCGCTTGAAAGTAAGTTTCTGTCACGCACGTAACCCTCGAGAAAATAAACACATTTTCTGACAACGATACAGCAACCCCTTTCGCCACCGAAGCTCAGGAAATCATGCAATTGATCCGCAAAAAGGCCCCGGAGACCGAAATCGAGCCACACATCCTCGCCATCCAACACGCTGCCGCCAGCCAACCGGACATCGCGGACCCCCTTATCCCGTCGACAGACGCCTTCGTCACCTCGATCTGCTACGTCGGCTCCAAATCCCTGTCACACGTGCTTTCCTGCATCGAGCGCAGCAAAGAACGGCTCCTGGCCATTGGCCCCAAGTCCCCTGCCGCCCGGCGCCAAATTATCACCTCGGTCCTCTCCTACTGGGCCGACCAGCCGGGCATCGGCGTGAACATCATCGACAAGCTGCTCAACTACACGATCCTGACGCCACTGTCGGTCGTCGAGTGGGCGCTTGTCGATCACATTGAGGGCGGGGCGGCGCTGGCGAAGGCGCATGTGTATGAGATGGTTGCGGCGACGATGGGGAAGGTGACGAATCGGATTCGCCAGATTGTTGCGGCGAGGGTGCAGGCGGGTATTGTGGAGCCGCAGCTGTCGGTTATTGATGAGACGTTGAGGAGGGAGAGGGGGGATGTGCAGGTTATGTTTGAGGTTATTGAGGGGGCGCTTGAGGGGGTTATTAATGGGTCGAATGAGAGTGGGAGTGGGAGTGGGAGTGGGATGGAAGATGTTGGCGAGGGGGTGGTGGAGGAGAAGGGGCTTATTAGGGAATGGGCTAGGAGGTGGTTGAGGGTTTTCAAGCGGCTACGAGCCGTTGAGGAGGCGTTTATCGCGGAAGCGATGGCTAGGGCTGTTCCTGTTGGGACGATGCCGCCTGTGCAGCAGCAACCGGCTGAGACTGGGGCAGAACCAGTGACAACAGAGGGTGCCGCGGATAATGTTGACATGGCTGATATATGAATAGGTGAGGGAGTAAGTTGAAGGTGAGGACGATGCGTGAGGGCCTAAATGATAGTGATAACGGGGGGTAAGAACCACTTTTTTTAGCTTCTTTGATTGTTTTTTTATCGTTTTTCTTTCCAGAGGTTGGTTGTATGCAAGCAAGTATAAAATACTAGTTTTGTGGATGCAGTCTGTTTCTGTCGTGTGCTTTGTGATAATATTCCGACTGACTAGTAAAAAAATTCGTTTGCTGATTATGGATTGTGGCATCTCTCTCTTTTCTCTCCCCTTCCCTCCAGGCAGCGCGGGCGCCTCCCTTGAGGTTTTTTGTTTATTGTTCCTCCCGTTTTCTTGATTTCCTCCCCTATCCCAGCAATTTCGGCACAATAGCTGTTTCCAAAAAGGGAACAGAAAGGGAGGGAGAGAGAGAAAACAAAAATGTATAACGAGTCAAATTCCTGTTCTTTCTTAGTAGTGGCTAGGTTAAAAGTATAGTAAAAAAAGCCCCTCCCTATTCAGAACCATTCTCGTAGAGAGACCTCTGAGAAATACTGCTCATTATTTTTTATATCTGCAAAGCATACCTTGTATACACAACAATAATCCTTCCCATCCCTCTCCACTCTTTGCTTTGCTCAGCCTGATGTTTTTTCCCAATTCCCAATTCCAATCTTCATCCAGTTTTGATTTCAGCGGAAAGGGAGGAGAGGACGAACGTACGTAGCCATAGCAGCAAGCCGGTCCACGATCAACATCTGGCCCGCCCGGCTGGCTGCCCATGGGCGAAGTTGAGAAATCAGAAAAAGCGAGATAATACGGGGGAACTCTTCTTCTCCTTTAGTTCATTTTCAAATCCTCCCTTCCCACTAAAGGGAGGAGCGAAAAAGCTCACCCTGAGAGAATTCGGGATTGTTTTGCTATTTTCTCTCTCTCTCTCTCTTTCTCTTTTTTTTTAAAAATTTAACTTTGATTCTTTATAGTATCAGATTAAACTATTTTCAACAAGTGATTTTGAGGATCTGACCTAATCTGATCCGACAATGATCATGATAATGATGTGGTATGTATGTACAAGATGTGCACGTTTGCGTATGCCCCCGTTTTTCTTCTTTGCACTATTGGCAAGAAATGCAATATAAAACAGGACAAGAAGTGGTAGAAAAGGGATACAAAAATTTGGAAAAAAAGATAAATAGAAGTGTATTAAAAAAAGAAAGAAAGAAAGAAAGATAGAAATAGAAATAGAAACATGGGGCGACGCGCTCTTTCATCTATTTCCCGCCCCATGCTCCTTAATAATTATTAATATTACGTTTTTTTAAAACTTTCGTTGGGGAACAATGCGTAAAAGAGGTCTTAAAAAAAGATGAAGGAACAAAAAAAGAACAAGGCACAAAATTTGGGGAAAATGCAAAAGAAAAACCGTAGTTTTTCACGTATCGTTAAATAGGTGTTGTTCACATGTCCTTTAACCCCCGCCCCCTAGGATCTTACCGCGTCTTCTTCGATTCCTTCACATCCACATCCGTCACATATGTACGGTCATCCCCACCCTCGACAGCCTGAACGCGGGATTCCATCTCCTTAACCTGCCTCTCCCACTCCTCCTTGGCCATCTTCGTTTCCTTATGGAAAAGCTCGATATTGGGCTTCCGATAGCTGCCACCCAGTCGATCCCAGATGGTTGTGAACTGGCCATAGTTGAAGTTGAAATACAGGTGGTGCATGGTGTGGCAGGCGGCGCCGTTGATGATGGGTGAGTTGGCAACATACTCGCCGTCGTGGATCAGGACGGTCCAGATGTTGATGAAGATGAAGAAGAAGACGTAGGCGAATTTCTGCAGGGGGAAGAGGAAAGGATAGAGGTGGTAAGGGATGCCTTGGGCGTAGCCATCGATAGGGTGGAAGGCGTGCGACGCATACGGGGTTGGCATGATCCATTTATGGTGGGGCTTGTGTAGGTGTTTGTAGACGAGCGGGTGGTGGAGGCCGCGGTGGATCCAGTAGATGAGGAAGTCGGTGAAGAGGAGGAAGAAGGGGATTTGAAGGTAGTTGTAGAGCGCGAAGGGGGCGTCTTCGAAGCTGTCGTACATTTTTGCGTAACCGCGGACTTCGAGGAGGAAGATAGGGGCGGTTAAGATAGCCATGATGGGAAGGGAGATGGAGGCTTGTTTGATTTCCATGCGGATTTGGTTTTTGAGATACTTGGGGTGGTTGAAGGTTGATTTGTCAAAGATGAAGACGTAGGAGAGCGTAGCGAAGATGAAGTAGACGAGGAGTCCGAAGATCCTGTTTTTTTTTTATAATTATTATTTCCCCTTCAATTAGCCATAGAAATAGGGGGAAAAACCGAAAGAAGGTTATTATTAGATGCCATACCAGGTGATGAGATAGAGGGTTAACAGCTGCCTCCACAGATTATCTCTGGGGAGCGAAGATGTATATGCGTATATCGAGGGTTGTAGCTTGAAATAGCTACTAGTCGGTTGATATACGTATCCGCCAGCGCCTACGAATTCGTACTTGGTTGCATTGAGGCTGCCGCTGAAGCTGGAGACGATGGCAGCAGCATCTTTGGCGGGGGCAAACTTCGCGTAGAAGTAGTCAAAAATGAAGGTATCGAGGACCTCGAGAATGACGTCCATGGCTGTCGTGTTTAATCAATATCCGAATCTCGTGTTTTCTTCTTCCTTTTATATATATGTGTATATATATATATATATTTACAAGACGTAGGCCTCTGCGAGGCAGATCAATGGGAGTTGTTTTGCCCGTTGCAAGTCGGAAGGGATAATGTGCGAACCGGCGCGAAGGGGTTGGTTGACGGAAGTGGCCAGGGAGAGATTTGGGAGGTCAAGGAGAGGACGCTGGCAGCAATTGATGGCTGGATGAGTGTAAAGGAGAGTTGGTAGTTGATGGTAGTTGGTGGTAGTGATGGTGGTGATGGTAGTGATGGTAGTGGTGGTAGTGATGGTGGTGATGGTGGTGGAGGCGGTTGGAGGAAGGAGGTTTGATGGTTGTCAAAAGGAACAGTAGTAGTGGTTGGCGTTGGTTGGTTGGGATATTTTGTTCTTCTGGATCCTGTCATGCGAGCCGGAGGTTGGTCCTGCCGAAAAGGGGGTTGAGGCGGGCTGCGTGGGCACCACTCGGCCAATCAGAGCAGAGTACCGATCGCTAGAACATCTTATCAATCTTTCAGCATTACTCCGTACTTACTACCCCTTCCGAGGCCGGTTCAATACGGGCCGTACTATACGGTGTATATTCTAGAACAACGAAATATATAATAATAATAATTATAATTATTATGCTCGGTAGTAATAACCACGCTGTATGTAATAATAATGTACAGACAGAGTATGTACAGAGTATGTACAGTACATATTCCTCAAAGAAACAAAACAAAAAAACTATCATCTATCCATCCCAGCTTGAGGGATTGTTGCCGGTATTCAATTTTTTAGATCCTGACATGACCCTAACCCAGTCCTGGATGGAGCCTAGCAAAAAAGACCTTCGGCAAAAGGAAAAAGTTCGGTTTAGTACGAGGGAAAAAGAATAAAAAAGGGGGAAAACGGAAATGGGGAGAAAGGGAAAGGGAGGGTGTTCGTCCCATCTATGGTCCAATCCACAACCAACCACCCTTCAGGCAATATCGTATCATCATCATCCCTCCCCTAAAACCAGACAGAACCCGCCCGTCCAACGCGCCATGCTCCAAGAGAGCGCATGTTGTTTTTTCTGTTGCAGCAGGCTAGCTTGGCGCCAGGGGCGCCAGGGGTAGCCTGCAGCCGATCGGTGGGGGCTGCTGCTCAGTGCTCATCCAGCAGATGGACAGATGAGCAGATCATGCTAGCTAGGGTTCAGGGCAGGTCATGGCAGTGGAATAATACATGTACAGTACATACATACTCATGATGCATCTGGCTCCCTGCACACTGCAGCAGGTGGTTTTTTGGGCTTTGTTGTCCCGTGCATATTACTTTTTGTTTGTTTGCTGTATGTGTGGTTTGGATGTGTATTTGAAAATGGTAACAGCTAGTTATATGACGCGCGCAGATCTAGCTTTCACTCACAGGAGGAAGTGTTTAAAACTGCTGTAGTTTTTATTTCCCTATTGACTTTTACCTCTCCCATTCAACTCTAGATATATATATATATATAATCATGTCTCAAATGCTGGGAAAGAAGAAATGGTTCCTTGTTCGCGTTGCCTACATAGTTAACTCCTTTGATCTACCCAGATCAATTCTTTCATATATCTGCTCTATACGTGCTCTATATGCATTCATGTACCACTATGAAGACTAAGCAGGAAACGTACTCTGTAAATACAAGAATAATGCAGGAAAATGAGGAGGGGGGCTGCATGGGATGATGAATGCTGTGTGTCAACCAATATTGCAGTATGAAATATGCATCATGATGCATAGCGCAAGCCTCAGCCATCAAAGTATGCACTGCACTGCACTGTACTCCGTACTCCGTACATGTACGTACGTACGTACATCTAAAGCTCTAGACAGGAAAATCGGGCCATATTTATGTGTGCAGAGAAAAGCCAAAAACAACCCTCATCCCTGGCTCGAGAGGGCGTGGGTTTGAACCTTTTTTCCTTTTTTCCCTCGTTATCTTTCCTTTATTTCTAGCTTTCGCTTGCATGCAGCTTTTTACTCACCGCAATCCACCCTACCCAGATTTAACAACTTTTACCAAGGCTTCCTTGCCCAAGGCTTTCCAGGGAGGCCAGCCCCAAGGGACGGGACAGCCTAGGAATTTACCCGCTTCTAGTGCGCCGCTGTTGTGAGGTCGGCGTAACTCCCAGGGGGGCGTTGCACAGTACCACCCGCCCGTTCTCTCTGGGTTCGTTCTTGTTATCATTATGGTTTGTGTTCTCCCTTGGAAGCGCCTTTGCTGATCGCATCATCGCACGGACACGGCGGCACGGCAATCGCTCGGGAATAATCCAGCTTTTCTCTTCGTCCTCGACCTTTTGCTTCTTCATCCTCTTTCATCATCTTATCTTTGTGCATCTCCTTTCCTTGCCGACTGGATCCCCGCTAGTCCTCGCTCAACATCCACCCACATCCATCTTTGCTCCTTTTTCCATTTCTATCCGAACATAACTGCCTCGTGGTTGTCGCGCTGTGACTGGAGGTGTCTTTTTTTTTTTTTTTTTTTTTTTTTTTTTTTTTTTTTTTTTTGGGGGTGGCCAAGATCCGGCCCACTTCGCTTCTGGCGTCAAATCTCAGCCGCATTCCCAATTTGGTAATAAGCGGCGGCGCTTCCGTCCCATTCTCCTTCCCAACCACACCAACGCCAGCAACCTCAACTCAACCTCCACCACCATCACTGTTCTCGTCATCAACATCAACCCCATCGACACCGTCAAACCATCTATAATCAGCATTTCGATCTACCTATACAATCGCAGTACCGATGCGCTGACCTTGCCAGCCCCCCTACAGCTCGCCCTCACATCCCCACAATCCACCCTTCCCCTCCTCCACAGACCATCTCCCTTATCCAGCCCAAGGGAAACGGCGTCATCGCACACCTCCAAATACAAAACCTTCTCGTCGAACTCTTTCAATAAAGTAAAAGGGAAAATTAACTTAGACAAATAACTTACGGTCAGCCACGCCCCTTGCAGGCTTGCGCGCCGTCAACCGCCTTCAAAAAAAAGCCGCGCAAGAAAAGAAACAGAACAGTTACCAAAGGGAAAACATGTACAATCCACATCGTGGCATGGTTGCCGCTCCTAACTCTCGTTTAACAGAGTTACTGGACCAGCTACGACAGGAATATGAGAACCAATCGCGGAGTACTGGGGAGTTCGAGCATCAATGTGCGTTGCTTTTTTAATTTTTTAATTGTTTTTCTTTTTTCTTTTTTCTTTTTTTTACAAAAAATTTCTTCCTCACCCTCTGAATTCTCGATCAAGGCGGGTCTTTTTGTCAAACAAAGCATCGCTATGAAAAATTGACATTCCAAGTATATTGCTATTCTCTATTCGGGTGCAATTAGCTTCCCTTTTCGCAGTATGTGATGTCCTTCGCTGACGAACATTCATTGGCAGTGACTGGTCAGCTCCAGGAGATGGAGATGATCCGGCAAAAGGTTTACCAGTTGGAACAAGCACAGATAAAAATGAAGCAAGAGTATGTTTTTATCGTCTTATACATTCCCCCGTGGGGCAATCAGCCGATCGTCGTTTGTTGCTTCTTGTTCGTATGCTTACATTGCAATAGATACGAGGCTGAAATACGTACCTTGCGACGAGAACTTGAATCTCGCGGCGTTCATCTACCTCAGTCCCATATTGGAGGCCCGCCAACGCATGCTGGGCCTTCCCAAGCTCCTCCCCCGGCTCTTGGTCATGGCCCTGCTAATCTATTTGGTGGTATCATGGCCAATCCAGGAGGTGGAGCTCCTGCGCTTGCACCCCCTCCTCCACAGGACCAACAACAGCCACCCCAGCACGCGCTTCAACAGCCCGGGTCCGCTCCCCAAGGACCTCCTCAACCACAGCAAGGTGCGTTTGGAGGATATCAGCCCGCCTCAGCAGTCAATGGTATGCTCCAAGCCCAATCCCACACCGTTAAACCAGAGAAGAGGAACCAAGAAATTTCTAATGAGTGACCCTTATACAGGATATGGACCTCCACCTCCTCCAACTTCTTCTCCAGGCCCAGGAAAAGGCAGAGCCAATCGCGCGCCCCCTGGCCCTGCGACTCCTCAGCAAAATCACCAGGTTGCCTACCCTGACCCTCGCGCCTCACCTCAGATTCCTCGTCCCACCCCCACTAGCCAACAACTGAGCTATCGCGTTGGAAACACATTAGCGGATCTCGACCCCGACAAGCTCCCCCCGAGCCAAAAGAAGGAAGGCGCCGATTGGTACGCCGTTTTCAACCCTGAGGTTCCGCGCGTTCTGGATGTCGACCTTGTCCATCACCTTGTTCATGATAGCGTTGTCTGCTGTGTCAGATTTAGCAATGACGGCAAATATGTTGCTACTGGCTGCAACCACTCTGCGCAGATCTTTGATGTTGCGACTGGACAGCTCGTTACCGCTTTGCAGGATGAAAGTGTGCTTGATAAAGATGGAGACCTTTATATTCGCAGCGTCTGCTTCAGTCCCGATGGAAGATACTTGGCTACTGGGGCGGAGGATAAACAAATCAGAGTACGAAATATTTCCTTTTCTTATCGTATCGACTTCCTCTCGGGTTGACAGTTAACTAAACATGTTATACTACAGGTGTGGGATATTGCTAACCGAACCATAAAACACATTTTCTCCGGCCACGAGCAAGATATTTACTCCCTCGACTTCGCCCGCAATGGCCGTTACATCGCATCCGGCTCCGGTGACAAGACCGTTCGCCTTTGGGATATCGTCGATGGCAAACAGGAACTCATCCTCAGCATCGAAGATGGCGTTACAACCGTCGCCATTTCCCCTGACGGGCGCTTCGTTGCTGCCGGCTCTCTTGATAAGAGCGTTCGAGTCTGGGACACGACGACTGGATATTTAGTCGAACGCCTGGAGAATCCTGATGGACACATGGACAGTGTTTACTCCGTTGCCTTCGCGCCCAATGGCAGGGATCTTGTCTCGGGAAGTCTGGATAAGACTATTAAGATGTGGGAGTTGACGCCGCCCAGGGGCATGGTTCCTGGGGCGGGTCCGAAGGGCGGCAAGTGTGTTCGGACATTTGAGGGTCATAAGGTTAGTTTTGAGGCGAATTTCTTTCACCAAACGGGCTTTCGTCACGCGTTGCAAAATAAACTGATGTGCTCTTGCCTTTGCAGGATTTCGTTCTTAGCGTTTGCTTGACACCCGATGGACGCTGGGTGATGAGTGGCTCTAAGGATCGTGGTGTGCAGTTCTGGGATCCCGCTACTGGAAATGCGCAGATGATGCTGCAGGGTCATAAGAATTCAGGTTAGTTTTCGATAGTTGATGTCGCTGGTGCCGTTTAATCTCTAACCATCTGCTTGTTCGGTAAAAAAAATAGTCATCTCTGTCGCACCGAGCCCAACCGGGAACTTATTCGCTACTGGGAGCGGTGACATGCGTGCTAGAATCTGGAGGTTGGTTTTCATTATTTTATTTTTTCTCCCCCTTTGCCATATACCATTATTTGTCACCACTAGGACCACAATGTCCTGGTTCCGGTTCAAACTAAGCAGCCAACCGCTGGTTCTGCATCCAAAACCCTCAACCCCTCCTTCTCGTTCTTTGCATTTGTCGCCTCGCATATTAACTAGTTATACGTCATACCAGGTTAAGATACTGACTGAAATAAAACCCGCCTATGACAATAGCTATACCAACTGGGATCGAAGGTCATAAGCAGTATTTTTTTTTCCTTTTTCATCTCTACACGCACCCTTCAAACGGCAACCCATTCATGGCACACCTATACAAACCAACCTATCCACTCAACCTATGCAACATACAATCCAACATATGATATACGGTTCATAGGAAGCAGACCACGCGAACAAGCTATCGGACACAATATAATGAACTGAAAATTCTAAGCAAGGGAGACATTTTTACAATATGGATTACTATATAATTGACTCGCCGTACCCTATCCTCCCCATATCCCCCCTTTTCTTCTAGGAAACCGTCCTATCCGTCTGCATACTTTTATCTCTTTTACCCACCCCTGTCTAGTTTTGGTTTTACATCTCACTTTCGGGGTGGGGTGTATTGTGGGGGAGGGAGAGAGTAGGCAAATGGAAACTGATAGAGAAGGGAGTTGGTTGTGTGTTGTGAGGTTGTGGAGAGGGGGGAAATAAAACCGGAAATTGGAATGGCAAAGGTGGTTTTCTTTTCTCTCTTTCTTTTGTTTTTTCGTTTTCGCCAAAGGATCTGGATGGGTTATAAATTTCTTATCGGGCTTTCTTTTTTCTATTTTTTTCACGTTTTGTTTTCATTTCTATGGTTTATGTAGTCATTACCGGGTTTCCTTTTGATTGATTTTATAGCTATGCTATCTTCCTTTTTATTATTCCCTTTCTCCCTTTCTCCCTTTCTCCCTTTTTCTTTTTTCTCTTTTTTTATTGTCATTCTTATTATTCTACACTCCCAACCTTTCTCCCCACCTCTTGGGAAGAGGGCAGCTTTTTGAACTCGTTTTCTGGGAGGGTTGAATTTTCCATTTTCATCATCCCTTCTTTGCAGAAAGTTGGTATTGGACGGGTCAATGATATGGAAATCAAGATAGGGAGGGCTGGTAATTCTGTTATTCAAGTGTTTGTGCCTGCTCCAAATTGCAAGGTTTTGATTTTGAAAGTTGGAAAGGCTGAAGGTCGGTTTCTATTTTAGTATTTTACCTATGTTGCAACGACCTACCTACCTGAGCTAGCCTAGGGAAAGGAAAATATATATATTTTTATGAGGATAACTATTCTTCTTCGGCCCTCTCCCTCCTCTTCCACCGCGGCGGAGGGAGAATATCAGTATCGTGGATACCTACAGTACCTATGAGTATTTTCCAGATTGGATGGAGCATAACATCCGAACGACTATTGGCGTTCAATTGTATGTGCAAGGATTGAGAGCAACAAAACTCCCCTCGAATGTTGCGCGGTTGGAAGACATTCGTTCTGGAGATGTGGCGATGTATGTTTGTATATCCACCATTTCGATTTGTTGAACTGAATCGATTGATTGTATTCAAACACTTCGGTCTATTGTTCCATTGATAGTTTTTCATAAAGCTGGTTTAGTGTCAAGCAATTGAAAAAACAGTCACTTCCACTCATGATCAAAAAAAGTATTTATAAAATGGCTAAGATATTCAAAATACGTACAAAACTTGGCTACCGGGGGGCGCTGCCTCCACCGTTTTAGCTTGCGTGGGATGAGAGATTGTCGCCTCCCCTCAAATACATTGTCATCATTCTGTTCTGTTGCTTGCTGGCTTAGATATAAGAGCGGATGGATACGCCACTCCGAAAGGTCTGCATTCAAGTTGCCGAAAAAAAAAAGAAGCAAAAAAGCAATGCTGACGCCTCTCCCGCCCCTCGATGAGATCAACTTGTTCCAGCACTTGAACAGATTTGATCACGCCGGGTTGGAGTTTACGCGTCTTGCACGAGATATCTTGACACTCATCAGGCCACAGCCATCGCTGCAATTGCTTCCAGACCTCAAGGAAACGGTGTCCACACATTGCAGGAGGTGTTCCTTGTTGCAAAGCTACACAAGCTTCCGGCGAAATCTATCATACACCTACCTTTATGCTACGCGGTGAATTGATTGATCGCATGTAGCTGGTAAGTTGCTCAAACGTATCCATGCCTATTTATTTCCCAACAAGTCAGCGGATAGAGGTGCATGCATAGACTCAGATGAATAGCAACAGACATTTCAACCCAAAACATGTGGATGCAACGCGATGAAAATAACATTTTCAGAGCCCTTGTGGCAATTAGGAGTCTTAGGAACTAAGCGCACGAAAGATCAAATTTTCATTTCCATTTAGTTCCTTCAGAGGAGACGGAGGAATCCGAGGGCGTGTGAATGGTCCCTCCTTGGGATGTAGGAAATGCAAACATCGATTCGCGAGTCTCCTAGAGAACCCCTCCCTGACAAGGGATCATAGGGTGGCATCAGTGTGAGAGAGATACCTTAGGCCAGGCGACGGAGTTCATCCATCAAAAAGGAATTTGCACGGAATGGAGACGAGAGGTGGGTGGAAGGAAGAATGGCCGTTGGATGTTCAATCCTGCTACATGGTGTTGATGTGCGCCTTGGGTACCCATCAACTCCCCTCATACCGAGTTTGACTTTGCTAAGTTTGACGCAATCCAACAAGTATGCCACAGGGGCTGCTATGATTCCAGCTGTGCTGCGAAGCCAATTACCTGCGTCTAGGCGTTACTTCCATTCAACATGCCAACATCTCGGTGGTGTAGTGGACCACAAGAAATTGCCCTGTGAGTGGGATAAAGGACATATCGGTAGTTAGTGGCGAACGAACTATCGGCCTCGCGCTGCTTCTCGCGCCCCTATTCCACGGCGGACGGGACTTCCAGACAACCACCCACCCAGTTTAGCTGGGGAATAGGCAGGAATGAGGAATTTTGTGCATGGTCACGGCTTTCATTGAGTGCCTTTAATGCGCTACCGAAGGGAAACTTTTGTCGCAGTATCCGTATTACATCCCATTATGCCACCCACATATGGAGGCAGGCTGGCTTGCGTTTGTTCACCGCGTGGAAGTTATCAGATAAAATTTTCATCGCACAGCCAAGTAACCTTTGCCAATTAAACTCCCCTCATATATTCGGCCCAAATGGGGTTTTCGGGGCAGCTAATACCCATCTGCCAGTCAGACAGTACCCGGCATCTGACGAAAGCGTGAAGGAAGCTAAGTGTATGCTAGATTTCGGTCGGTTGTTTGACTAGAGGTTTCAGAAACGCAAGCGCTGGGTGGACGAAAGGGATAGAAAGAATAATAGATCGATCTGTCGAAATGGCACTTGAGGTGAACCACGGGGGAGCAAAATAGGTACAGTAGATAGATGGTGGCACGCTTGACCGAAGATGCCGTCAACGATGGCGCAAACAGGCGAAATTATATATATGGCGGCCAAAAGTGTCGCCGAACCACCTGACCCTCTTTCTTTGGTTGGGCTTTCGGTTCGTGCTGTCGTCAAAATAAAGTTGTCTTTCAAAAGACTAAAAAAAGACAACAAAACAAAAGAAAAGAAAAGAAAGAAGGGGAAAAAAAAAAAAAAAAAAAAGAAAAAAGAAAAAGAAAAAGAAAAGGAAGGAAAAGCAAAATGGAAAAAGGAAAAAGAAATGAAAGGAAAAAAAAACGTGGTTCAAGTATGCTATTTGCTTCTTCTCCACATGTTCATGATAGTTCTAGGGTTTCTCTCGAATATCTATCAAATGGCCGGGTGCCTGACGGGCCAAGAAGACAGTCGTCCTTAACAGTTCTAAATACTGAGTTTTTGGAGAAGAAATGGACGAGAGTTTACGGTGCTGTCAGTTGTATATACGAATCAGAGAGAATTACCAGTTGTCGCGCAGTAGCGATAAAACGATGGCTTATTAAAGCGGGAGGATTTGGACATCCTCGCCTCAAAGGCAACAGAAGTTCATCAGCCCTTAGTTAGTAAACCCTCAGTTGGTCACTAGAAAAAGGCTGGGAATATCAAAATAGTCTCAACGAAATCACCAAATGGTTGATTTTTATGCATGTCACGGCTGGGTGAATCAAAGGCAATGAATTGATTGTCTGGACTTTTCATGCTTTGACACTTTTGACTCCCTTCCCATATGCATTCATCCATGACCATACATATATATCTGCATCCTGCCATCAATGGAGCCCCTGGTCGGGACGAAACATGTCACCCACTGGGCCACTGGTTTATTCGTTAACTGGTCTTATCTCCGGATAATATCAGCAGCTATTGACACCCAGGCTGGCTTTCCCACTTCCCCGGTTTCCAGGGCTCAGGAGATGAGCCTGCTGTCTTGCAGAAAATCTTCTCCACAGCCGGCATTTGAATGTGACCAGCGACTGAAGCACGTCCACATGTTATCCCTTCCCTGGGATATGAGAGAGACAATCCAGTTGTTCGGTTGTCAAATGCTTCATTTGGGTCGTGTGGAATCTGAAATCTTGATTGAGCCTGACAACATTGTACAGCTTCGGGACAGAAATCTTTTAATCCGAAGCGTCGTGAGAAGAAGTCTAGTTTTATGGAGGGTTATTTTGCAAGCGGCACACAGTGTTTCACAGCAGAGAAAAAATTGCTTTCGAGCTCCCCGATCCGAAGGCGGCGCAGAGCGCACGGCGACATCTTCAAGCAGCTCTATTGGTGTTCGATGCCTGTTGGCCCACAATCGTCATTCTTGTGCTGCCATGTTGGGGGTGCAAGACCGGACGCTTGGTTCGTTCATCAAGCCAAAAAGAAACGATGGCGCCGTGGCGTTGGTGTATTTTCATACAAAGACAAAGTGGATATCTGCCCGCCTGTGATCCCGCGGGTCATTTATTTTGTTTGCGGAATTAGTACTCGGCGGGTTTTTTTTTTTTTTTTTTTTTTTTGGATCCTGATCCGGGTGAGTTAGTTACCCGCGCTGATTATTATTGTTCAAATACTCCGTACTCTGTACGGGATCACCGAGCTACCCAAGTGGGCTTGCTCTTGTAGTGAAGCCGGAAAGAAAAAGAAAACATAATATCCCTCCAGGCCTAGAGGGCATGGAAGAAAAATGGGGCCTGTTAAGTTGCTCAGAGCATGGCTGACTCCTCCCCCCGTTTCCTGACAATCGTAAATCGGAAACAGGGACGTGGGAGATTCTACCTGAAAAACTGAGCCAATAATCCAACCGCGGTCGCCGCCAAATCCCAGAACGTTTTCCTTTTTAGTTTACAGTCTGTAGTGAGGATTCAAGTACCCTTGCTCCCACCAATGTTCAAACATCGGCTGCAGATCGGACACTTACGCAGCGGAACAAGCGATAGTCTGATGGTTTTGAAAAAAAAAAAAAAAAAAAAAGCCGGGGGAGATCTGAGCCAGAAATTCCCAGAAGTTGTCATTCGCCCATTTACAAGAAGGAGACTTCTTCGATCTTCAAATCAAAAGCCGGATAAGATTGTGCTTGTTTCTTACATCTGTTTTTCTTTTTTCTGCGGGATGGGGGCGAAGCTCACAAATGTGCATGACTACCCCCAGATTCTAAAAATTAGGTCACGATTCCCCAAGAATCTACCCACTTTCACTGGCTTTGGATTGGCTCTTGGCTTAGTCCTCGAAGACGCACTTCGGAACGGTGTGTCGCAAGGGGGCTTTTCTCGCTACTGGCGTTTGTCGCCCTTGTAAAATAATGCCGGTTTTTACGAAGCCTCTCGGTGAGGGGTGGAGGGGAAGAAGGCGCAAGCTTTCTCTGAAAGGAGATGCACAACTGCTGTGCACCCGCGCACATAAAACACCTCTTGACACGTAGTTAGCTCCACAGGTCAGACTTTTAAAATGCGCCGCACTGACAGGTCATGTCGGCCGTGCCGTGGGCCATGCCTCCTGTGTCCCCGTCGTCAGAGTAATATGAGTTTCGATGAGGGGGCTCTTATCTCTGCTTTTTTGCCCAGCCGGCGCCACCACCCCGTCGAGAACAGAGGAAAAAGAAATTAGCTCGCCTTACAAGAAGCAAAGACAAAATGAGCGAGAAAAAGAAAGTCGAAGAAGTTGGAGTGATCTGTTTTTCGTTTGGGTCCTCTTTTTTTTTTTTTTTTTTCTGTTATTATCTGACATATCCATATCAAGTACGGAGTACATGTGTAGTATTGCCTTGATTTCCTTGTTCAAAGTTGAAGGTCACTTTTCTTACTATATGACAAGGACTTCTCAGCAGACTTTGAGCTTTTGCAAATCAAAAAAAAAAAAAAAAAAAAAAAAAAAAAAAAAAAAAAAAAGCAGATCCATGGATATGCATGTAGAGACGGAACGAAAAAGCAACGAGAGGGGATGAAAAAAAGCAAAAAGCGAGAAAAAACAAAGTAAAACGCGGCGGCCCAGCCAGTTGGTCAACTATGCTCCCTAAATGGGCACATGCATGCAGGCGGCATTCATGATTCGATCTGGCTTAACTTTATCTCCGTGATAATTCTTGTCGCAAGCGCGTTTTCAAAACAGTAGGCTGGTGCTCTGCTTTGTCCTTTGTCGTTCTTCGTCCGTTTTCTAGCCCCCTGGGGATGGATAATTGCTTTTTCTTTTTTTTTTCTTTTTGGTTCTTGAGATACTTTTCCGCTAATTCAGTGCTGAGCTGAACGCTCCCCCCGCCGCCTCATCCAGAAATCCAGGGATAGAGACTCAACTAGCCCGGCCACTAGCCTTGGAGATCAGTCACGCGGGTTTGCGCGGGAAACAGGTCCCTGTGAAGCGTGTGTTTTTGCTTTTTTTGTGGCGGAGGTGGGATTATGAGTGTGGATAGTTAGTACGGAGTAGTGATGAATGAATGCTTTGTGGATTTCCTGTTGATAGTCTGATTCCGAAGAGCCGAATAAGGACAGTCGATGACGCATATACTCCGTTATCCGTACTTTGTCGAATAACTTAGCGATACGGAGAGCATCATCAAGGGCCCCCCTGAAGGCCAGGGGTCCACTTGAAGAGAATAAAGTGATGTTAGTGATAAGTAGGGCATGTTTATTCCGTAGTCCAAAGAGACATGAGATATCCTGATATCTGACGTTCTGCCCACGCCAACATTAAATTGACTAGCAAGTGGAGATCGTGCCAGAAGAGTAAGAAGCCAGCCCGGTGAGTGATGGAAATACGCCTTGTGAGCTGTAGAAACCAGGAATAGTCGACTATGTTGAATTGGCGGGTGGAATAACAGGTGTAGAATGTGTAGAATATGAAGTTAGAATGCGATTGTTGAGGTAATAAATAATAACTCATGGAACGAAACCGGATGTCGACTTGTCTCCAGAACCGAACAACAACAACAACAACGACAACAAACCACCACAACCACCACAACGAATTTCACCCCAAAAGGTCGTCGGCTCGTAACCGGCAAATCGCACCACGCAGGCAGCCCTCTAGAAACAAGGGAACGGGCCGACCCATTTTTGCGGCTGGCAAGGTCTGATCGAGATCTTGGAATTGGCCCTGGGCCTGGGTGGAGTTGCGCGCAACGGCACAGAATAGATCACTCCGTATACGGAGCACTCTTTGTATGTTAAATCTCTTGTTGTTTAAAACAGCAATACAGCAAAAGACGACTGGATTCTAACAACATGCAAAGTGCGGTAATAATAAGAATAATAATAGGCGTGTCAGCTGTCTGCCATCTCGGCCTTTTTGTGATGAGCATCTGATACCAAGCCATCGGCATTATCAAGCGCTAAATCGCGAACTTTGTGCTCCGTATAGCCTGGATCATGTTTAGCTTTTTGGGTTTTGAACCAACTCCCAGCCGAACCCGGCTCGAGATGTTAGTGACGGACGGGTTAGAAAGCTCCCTAGTCCACTGGTTGGCTAGCTGAACCAGCTCTCTCATTGGAACAACTCCCACTATCGTATGACCAGTCAGAGGCTAGCGGGCGCGCCACCTGCGACCCTCCCTGTTGTGTACAGAGTACATGCGGGCACCTCCCCCTGAAGCCTGCGTCGACAGTTCTCTCCTGGTCTCCAGGAGTTCGCATTCTGAGCATCTAATCTAGCCTTGGAGAGTTTCTCATTTTCTCTACGACTCCCGACAGCTCCGAAGCACCAAGTCGCAAGATCAACTCATTAACCAGCATAGCTTGATTTGACCCGCTTTACTTTATACATAAATCAAGGGTCGGCGTGTTTGAGGTGCCAGACACCTGATGCGTGCAGCCTCGCACCAACACATGTATGCCTGCATTGGTCAGGGTGCCCGCCGTATCAGATTGGCCCACGGGCGACATCCCCGCGCCAGTTGGCGTTTGGTCCCTTTCAGACTTCAGTGATGGCTCTGGTATCTCTGCAGCGCCGAGCAGCCTGGTAAGTCACAATTCAAGCTTGGCCACACCATTTCAACCCACGACGGAACCTTCCTGATCTTCCGCGATTGGTGCGCCGCCTCGTGCTGCCGGGTTCACACTGCTTTGGCCCGATTAGTCGTCAAAGTGGTCAACCCTGCTGCAGAAAGATCGAGAAATTATAAGCATCACTAACGAGTTGGGCCTTGCTCTGGCGCTGGGTGTGTGCGTACAGTCTACGGGCGCAGTGTTGGGCTAGCCCAGAGTTGTCCTTTGCTTCCCGCCGCCCAGTGTCTGCGCTTCAATAATGCTTCATCCGTCGGACCCGGCCATATTTCCCATTTCCTCCCCACCAGCAATTGCAGCGGTTGACCAAGAGCGAAACAGAGTGACGAATCAACCACAGCAATTTTTTTCCTCAAGGCTGGGTTGGTTCAACTCAATAAGGAAACTTACACCTTGGCAAAATAAAAATCCTGATACTGTGCATCGAGCCGGTGCTCAGCCGACGGTCGTTCTGGATCGGGGTCTTCAGGTCCAAAAAATACAGGCCTTTTTCGAGTATTACTTTGTAAAAACAAGAACTCCGGACGAGATGCAAACTCTTGCCTTGTACAGTTAGTTGGGCCAAGGAAGAAACCTGTATTCTATTATGGAGTAAATGACACTGATGAGAATGATACTTCTGAACATAGTTCCATTTGCCATTTTTATTAGTGGTTGCACTTACCCTCTGGATAGGTAAAGCCCAACTGCTAGCTTGCTGACCATTGTTCTTGTCCGGGTTCCTGGCGGTCTTCGTCTAGATCCACCTTGCCTCGCTGAGGCACCCGCGGATAGTCGCCATTATTGGGCGTTCTCCTGCTCACATCCGGGCCTTGTTTTTACAGCCGGCCCCCAAAACTGACGCTAAGCTAACTGCCCAGTCTGGGATTTTTTAGTGTCTGCTTAATTTCAAGCCCTGAACCATTTTGGGGGCTTGAGAGCTGCAACCCCCAGCCAGTAACCCACCACCATTTCCTGTCAGGGATATCCGATCCTATCCCAAGATCCAACCTTTGCCTGACTCTCACGCTCTTCCCATCTTAACAGTATTTTTTGGGGTTCATCCTCTTAAAATTCGAATCTGCAGCTGAAGAGGAGAACCTCCAAAACGCACGTCATTACTTTTTTGCTTTAATTTTTATTTTCGCGGGTAACGACAATTAAGGCGCCAACCTTCCTATCATCCTGCTCTTGGTCTCCGCTTATCTCTTCCTATTTGCCCCATCCACTATCCGGTCTTCTGTTTCCTGGTATTCTTGCCCCCAATAGGCTTCGTCCCCCTGGAACCATAGTCGGGAAACAAACTGTGGTCTGAACTCTCAGTCCCCTGGCCTGGCGTATCTTGCCCCAAGTTCCAACGGCATACTCCGCTTTTGTGTGCTGCCGATCTTCAGAGTCATTGTATATCTTACCTCTGGTTTCCTTCAACCCTTTTTAAGTGTTTGCCTGCGCAACTCTTGGGACCCCGTTTGATCCTTGAACCCGTTCGAAAACGCACTTTTGGTTTTTTGACTGAACCACTAGGGGCCTCACTATATTTTTCATTCTGCCTCCCCATCTGCCTTTTCTCAACCGCGAGCTATTCTTGCCAAGTGCTGGGGACCAATTGAGATTGCGGCGATCGCATGACCAGCTTCCACACACCAAAATCACACTCTATTCGCAGCAGTTTACTTGCGCCGCATGTCGACTTAGCAGATGCGGATAACATTTAAACGCCAATCGTCATCGGCAGCAAAAGAAAAGTAGTAGAAGAAAGAAAAAGCAAAGAAGCTTGTTCTAAAAAAAAAAAAAGAAAGGAAAAGCAAAGAACAAAATAATAGAAAAAGAAATCAAGTTACACTATCTTTATTCCAACTGACGTGCGCCGAATGTCATTATTCTCCGCTGGCCTCAAGGAAGGAAACCCACCCTCCCACGCCTTCGTTAGCTGCGCCGTACAGACAAGGTCGGCCCTCGCGCTCGATCTGCCCGTCCGCTGAAATTCGAGATGGAGACGGCTGTCCCAGTTGCATATAATGTCACGAACCATGACATGAATGCTGTTGCCCACCGCCGCATGATGGCTCCACATCAACAACATCATCATCATCACCATCATCATGACCAGAATATCGCGTACTTCTCGAACCCACCAATTCCATATTCAACCCCTCTGCAGCCACCGTCATTCGGCGGTTTCGGTCACATATTGAATAACCATCCTCATCATACATCCTATCAGGGCTACTTTAACTCGAATCCGAATCCCAATCCCCAAGTGAATTCGCATCATCATCGGCTGGCCACTGAGACGAATCCGGTACACCAGGTTTCAGATATCCGTCATGTCAAAAATCCCAACCAGCGTTTAATCAGACCTTCACCACCAAAGGAAGACACTCTCCCTCCTGCTCCTGCTCCTGCTCCTGCTGTTGCTCCTCCCCCTCCTCCTCGGCTGCCACCGCAGCGCGTAAGCGTCGCACCAGTGCGAAATACCACGCAGCATGAGGACTCGAAGCCTATGCCCAAGCCCGGGGTGGAGTTTGGGACGGAAGTGGATACTCTGATGAAGGCCATACAGTCTAAACCGCAACCAGCATCGCCTCAAGTGGAACATCAACTCCCTCCTTTGCATCAAAAGTTTAATAATGGTGTCGCCAATTGGATTCACCCAGCTTACGCCAATCAAATGGCCGGGAACCAGGCTATTTTCCCTAACGCTCCTCAAGATCGTGTTCCACCCCCGAACCAAAAAGCCAAAAGGAAATACGAATGCACCCTCCCCCATTGCAGGAAGAGCTTTTTCCAGAAGACGCATCTGGATATCCATATGCGGGCACATACTGGTGACAAGCCCTTTGTAAGTTGGTCCTTGAAAATCGTTGCTTTTGATGGTACTGGGAAATGGTGGCTTATTATGGATTTGTACAGACATGCAAAGAGCCCTCATGTGGCCAGCGGTTCTCTCAACTGGGAAATCTTAAGGTGAGTCGAGAATAAACAAAAGTCTCGCGGCTTGAACCTATGCACGATATACTTACAGCCGTATCTTGCAGACACATGAACGAAGACATACGGGCGAGAAACCTTACTCGTGCGAGATATGCCATAAGAAATTTGCCCAGCGAGGCAATGTTCGCGCCCACAAAATTACACATGAGCAGGCAAAGCCCTTTAAATGTCAACTAGACGATTGCGGGAAACAATTTACACAATTAGGAAATCTCAAAGTCAGTATCACCATTCAGCCCAAAGTCAAATAGCTCGTTTCACTCGTAGAAAACACTAACATTTCCACAATGATGCAGTCCCACCAAAATAAATTCCACGCCCAAACCCTCCGAAACTTGACCCTACGATTCGCATCCATTGGCGACATCGACCGCATGTCCCCACAGGACAAGGAGTTGTGGAGTTACTTCTCCACCCTCTATCGGAATAGCAACAAGGGCATTAAGGGCCGTGGTAAGGACCGCCGTGTATCAACTGCCAAAACCTCAACTAGCGCCTATGATGGGAGCCATTCGGAAAGCGAGGGTGAGGCCAAAGGCCGCAGTCGAAGTTACGACCGCGCATCAGCAGTGATGACTTCCAGCAGCGACGAGCCAGATTACCGTGAGCAGCTTTACCATCATAGAAATGGTGCTCATCATTGAGAGCAAGCTTTTCTTACTCCGTCCTCCGCGAAGGTTATCATGGGTATCAGCGGAATTGCATAACAAGGAGACCTAATCGTTACCGGCGGGCGGGCTTCGGAAGTCAAATCCTTTTCAGATGCGGCTTCGTGCGCGAACCCGTGCTCTCATTTGATTGGAAATTTTTCCGTATATATTCAATACCTTTATTCCCCCTCTCCTTTTTTTCGCTTTATTTCTGTTTCCTATTTTTTGTTCTTCGGCTCTATATACCTCTTCTGCGTGTGCGTGTTTTCGACTCAGATTTGGAATATTTTTCCCCTGCTGCTTTTGGAATCTGAGTCATCTAGGTTTTGTTTTAGTTATCCCTGTTCCCTTTGTTTCATTTTTTTTATCGCGCATTGGCAAGGCGCCGTTTTTACAGTGATAAAGCAGGAAAAAAGGAGTGGAAGAAGGGAGGAAAAGAAAAAGGCATTCATCATGGCCATGATCATTGGCAAAACCATTGAAGCTGGGATTGTGCACATAGCATTTGGACTGGAACTTTCAGGGACTTTTTGTTGTGTGTGTGTGTGTGTGTGTGTGTGTGTGCTACATGCTTTCCTTAACATATTTGGGAAGGGGCGGGAGGCTGCGGGGGTTGTGGGCGAATATCTGAACAGACAGAGCGGAGGGAAGATAGAGCCAAGCAGGGAGAAGATAAAATATACCTATCTGGTGTTGTATGGATATGGGAAACAATACTTAGCAAGGTGTTGGGCGACTGGGTTACTATACTACCATTTTGTTCGGGGTTTACTCTTCTTTGGCTACATTAGGGTATTGATATAAAATTTATCATATTATAATATTTGCTTTATTTTGATGTACGTATCTAGTGCTTGGATGCGAGGGAGGAAGCCTGAAGGACCTTAAAGCCGTACGACTGGTGTCGTTGAATTATATTTCTACACACGAATATCCTGAAAGGCAGCGAAACCGCCTCAAAACAAGCGCCCTTAGCACTGCAGAAAACCTCCTGGATATATACAAAATAAAATCAAACCCGTAGGTATAGTTACATAAAACAGAGAAAAGCAAAGCCCCAATAGTCCCCCTTCCATCGACGAACCCCTCTCTAACCGTCTATCGGCCCCATGGATAAATAAATCCTAACATTCTCATAAACCAAAAATGTCACCCAAGTACTCGGCAAGACGCGCACCATATTCGGTCCCAACCCTTTATAAAACCCTGCCACACCTTCCTTGCGCCATATCTGCCCCATTGCATCCACCACGCCTCGATACGTCCCAGCCGCATCATACGTCTGCAGCCGCGCTTTAAGCACCTGGTATGGATACGTCACGCAGCCGGCGAATATCTTGGAAGTGCCGGAGAGGACGAGGTAGTCCATGTTGCTTAGTTTCAGGTCCTTGGATCTTGCGCTCCCGTTTAAGTTGCCGTTTCCAGGCACGCCGACGGCAGATGAGGATGTTGCATGTTCTAGTTGTGTAACAGTCGTGCCCGCTCGGTAATGTTTGAGCTTCTCGTACGCCATGAACTGGAGCGCACCGTGGCCCACTCCAAATAGAGCTGGGATCATTCCACGGTAGAAACCTGGGATACCTTCTGAGCGGTAGATGGCGCGCACACCTGCGACAAGAGAGGGGTAGGCGCCCGGGACGTTTGAGCCGGTAGAGAGCATGCGGGTTTTGATTACCCAGATGGGGTTCGTGAGGAAGGCTGTTAGAACACCTGTCAAGGAAAATATTAGTTTATCCATATCATATTCAATAAGAAAACACAATATATGGAGATTGTATTCTAACGTACCTGCAACTCCAGATGCGACAAAGTAATCCAACGACCCCAGCCCTCCTTCCGTCCTCGACCCATGCAAGACATGTAGAGTGTCTTTGATATTGCTGTACCAAAGGAAATACAGTCCCCAGCTCACAGAATTGCCGACCAGATTTGGTGTGAGGCCACGGTAGAAGCCGGCGATTATCCCACCCTCATGGCGGGCGATACCGCGGGCGATGCGGAGTGAGCTGCCGATGCGCGAGGAAGAGAAGCGGTCCACTAGAAGACGGAATTGGATCAGCAGGTGTTATTCTTTTCCCCGGCACATAGGAAATCGTAGGGGAAAAAAGACACTGTATACCGTACCTTGGAGCCTCGTCTTGATCACATCGAGCGGGTGGACGGCGAGGGTTGACGAAATGCCGGCGGTGAAACCGGCTATTGTCTCAACAACGGATGGCGACAGGCCATGGTTATCATTCATGGACTCGTTTTCAGGAAGCCCCTAGAGGACACTTCGACTCTGGGGAAGGAGACGAAGCAGCCTTTCTATTTGTTTTAAGCGTTGAGGCTGCGACGGTGGATTTGGTACTGGTTGGGTTGAGTTTGGAGTGGTGAAGAATGGAGTCGGGCGCATTTTTCAATTTTGATATCAGTTTATTTATGCTTCTGAAACCAACAACATTTGGAAGTATACGGCAAACTCTTGCCCAAAAAGCAGTAGATATCGAGCTGCTCTGCATATGAAGTTTTCAAAGAGGGTAAATTTCTCTGCCTTCCACAAGGCTAGGGTACACAAGGAATACAAACTAATCGCATGTTAAATCCCACCAGGTGGAGAAGCCTTTGAGCCGTCGATCGTTTTGTTAAATATTCCTATGACGAGTAACAAAAAAAAAAAAAAAAAAAAAAAAAAAAAAAAAAAAAAAAAAAAAAAAAAAAAAAAAAAAAAAAAATTAGATAAAAGAAGAGGACTAATATACAAATGCTTCCAACTCCAGTTTACAGTTAGAAAAAGAATCGAGGAAACACCCAGTGTCCAGCACCCCTGTACCCGCGCAAGCATCGCCCCCAGCATTCTATATGCGCACACCATTTCAGATGAAGGAAAAGGCCCTCCTTGCTCCCATCCCGTCGGTAAAAATTTTCCATTATGTTTTATACAGTCAATGGCAGCCTTCCCTCCTCTAAAACCATCCCGGGAACAATACCGTTTTCTTTTAAGTTTGGTCGAGTTTATGCGAGGGGCGAGAAAAGCCTGATATCGAGGTATGTAAGTATGTTTATGCGCTCTTGGATTTATAGCAGTGAGGGCATGGTCTAAGGGTATGTACTTGAAGAGTTGCGGCCGTGGCTCGCTATATGTATATCCTGATATAATGTTAGCTAAACAACTTTTTGGCCCAGATGAAAAGACGGCGATGGTTACCAAGGTAGATGATGAAAGGCAGATATCCACTGCAACAAGTAATAGGAGTGCGGTCAGTAATTAGATTAAAGATTAAGTAGGTTGCTAGAAAAATCAACTCACTAATGAATAGCCACTCGGGAAATGCCAATGACCTTGGAAATACGTTCCTATATACAATTTAGTGGACGAAAACCTTTGCGGGAGCAGAGTAAGCGGCGTACCTTGGTCTCTTCGGAGAACTGAACCATTTTGGAGGAGGTCGGAGGGAAAATATATATGATATAGGGATAGTTCGCTCGCTTATTTGTGGTTGATGCGGTTGTTTGGAGCTTGTCGATCTTATGTTCACTGTTGTCGAGGTTGTTCGACGCAGAAGTTGAAAGTTGAAGCTGGAGCGGACAAGGTTTTCGCCGAGGGACAGCTCAGGCCGTATCGGGCAATTCGAATTCTCCATGTTTATTTCTTCCCTTGCTTCCACAACCAACCATATCCAACACATTTACAAAATATCCAGCTTGTCGATACATAGCTGTATCCTTTTTATTAAAATAACAATCGCAGGCCTCACAAATCGCATCTCTCCACCATGGCTGGAGTCCGGCATTGGTATGTAAAGTGGCACCCAACATCCCAAGCATGAAAAGCTGACACTGTCTTCACAGGGAGCAAGACAAAGAAGCGACCGTATATATCGGTAATCTAGATGAGCGCGTCACAGATAGCCTGGTCTGGGAGTTGATGCTCCAAGCCGGCCGCATCGTCAACGTCCATCTCCCCAAGGACCGCGTCACGCAGACCCATCAGGGCTACGGGTTCGTCGAATTCATTAGCGAGGAGGATGCCGAATATGCTGCTCGAATCATGAACCAAGTCCGCCTCTACGGGAAACCCATTCGAGTAAATAAGGCGTCTGCAGACAAGCAAAAGACGGTCGAGGTTGGCGCGGAGTTGTTTGTGGGCAATCTTGACCCCATGGTTACAGAGCAGGTGTTATATGACACGTTCAGTCGGTTTGGGAGTCTTATATCTGCTCCTAAGGTATGTTACCTGCATTGCTCTACCTGCTATTCCTTTATTTTTTGTTGACAAACTAACCCGTATGTATTAGATTGCACGAGATGACGCGAACCTTTCCAAGGGCTACGGCTTCGTCTCCTTCTCTAACTTTGAAGCCTCAGACGACGCAATTGCAAACATGAACGGTCAATACCTCATGAACAAAGAAATCTCCGTCCAATACGCCTACAAAAAGGACGGCAAGGGTGAGCGACACGGCGACCAGGCCGAACGCATGCTCGCCGCCCAAGCGCGAAAACACAACGTTCAGCCTCAAGCACAACCCCTGCCCCCACAACTTGTTGGGGGCGGAGCGGGCGCGCATCAAGGAGCCCAGCCTCCACTTGTTGACGGCGAGGGCCCTGGTGCTGTTGGTGCTGGTCGAGGAATGAACCCTATCGCTGCGGCTGGCGGTCCACCAGACTTTGGCGGCGGGCGGGGGCTCCCCATCGTCAACGGCGCCGGTGGCTTCCATCACAACCAGCACATGCCACCAGCACAACACCCGCACCCGCACCCGCACCCGCACCAACAACATCCACACCAACACCATCGCCCACCACCTCATGTGCATCATCCCCCTCCGGCCCTTTCCGCGCCCCCTCCAGGCCTCCCTGCCCGACCACCCCCATCCCAAGCCGGCTATGGCGGGCCGCCACCGCAAGGATTCGTCCCCCCACCTCGCTTCGGTCAGCAGCCGCCACCAGCTGGCTTTGGGCCTCCTGCGTCTGCAGCAGGTCCCCCAGGTGCTGCACCGCCTCCGCTTCCGCCTGGGTTTCAGCAGCCCGGGTATGGGAGGGGTCGGTGATTGCATGAGAATTTCTAGGGCTAGTTGCGTATGTTATGTTACGGCTGCGGCTACTGCGCCTAAAGGACACCGGAAACTCTGTGCTGTGCCCTGAAAGATATTACCGGAATGTACACCGCCAATATATGACGAAATGTCTTGCCATTTGGACAAAGAGAAAGAGCTAATTGAAGCATTCCGCCACCCTTATATGGCCCTCTTGGAACGTCGAAAGGCTCCAAAGCATGGAAAGCACACACCAGCAGCAACTCTACAGGTCCCAAGGCGAGGAAATAAATGGAGATTTCAAGATTTAATATCGACCCCAAGCAGGGCGACCCCCATGGGTGAAGGGGAAACAAACACAAGCTTTGTACTGTACATATAGCTGTTAAATAAGCAAGGAAACTAAAACGTGAGAGGTCAATGGGGGAAAATATATTTTTAGCTAGACGAAAGCTACCTAAGGCAAGGAGGGGTACAAAAGTTTCATGGATTAGTAACTTGTTTCGATGACAGAAAAGATTTAGTGGAGAAAGAAGAGGGCAAAAAACTCAAGAGAAACAATATTTAAGGAAAATGATAGTGGTCGCTGGTGGTTAGGGAGATATGTAGTGACGGACATAGGAAAAATAGGGGTTGTGTGTTGCTAGCCAGAACGCAGTGAGCAGAATCAAATCACGCTTCATCAGATGAATATATATGGAAAGAAAACAAAAGAGTACAAGGAAATCCCGCTCAAGCCATTGCATCCAATTACCCATATACATCCTATAGACCCACCCCGCCTTAAAAAGAAAAAGAAAATCAACCCTTACGAAAATGAAACAAACTTCGGATCCCTCGGTCTCCCGTCAGGCCCGATATCGTTCTTCGCAAAGCGCCGCTCCATATAGATCCTCCTCGCCTCATTAAAATCCACCCGTTGCCGCTTCATGATCTTTAGCACCTCACGCTTGCCGACTCGGTCGAGCCCTGCGCGCCCGTCGCCTGATGCTACATTGTTGGAGAGATCGAAGTCTGCGGAAGAGAGCCCTGCTTCCATGTCGCCAGTGAAGGATTCAGGGAGGCGGGAATAGAGGTAGTCGGGTAAGTGGAGGAGCGGGAGCCAATGAATACGGGTTAGATAGAGGGCTGTCAAATTTGTTAGATACAGAAGGAGGAGGGAGGGGTTTGGTGGAGATTAGGGCTTGACGGATAGACGTTACCTGTGCCCGTGACGAGGGCTAGGAATGTGAGGGAGTAGAGTAAGTAGGACATTATGCTTTTTTCTTCTTCTTTGTATTCCCCGTATATCTTTATAGGGATGGCGGATTACGGCGGAGATAAAGGGAAGTCTTAGCGTAACTGGTCAATGGCCTAGCTGTACGGAGTAGTTGAAACGAGTGTTGGAAAGTGGAATAAAATGATGGCAGTAATAATAATAAATAATAAATGGAAATCAAAATCGCCGAATCAAAAGAAAGGAAATAGTAGAGAATGTGAAGAGGTACGACGTTCAGGTGTATGAAACTATACAATCATCGAAGCTCATGTGGGTGACGGGCTTTTTGAGCAGGCCTGACGCTGTACGACTAGTTATCGCATGTTCAGTCCAGACAAACTGAGATTCTGGCAGCGAAAGTTCACGGTATATATCTGCTCTGCTGGACCCCCGAATCCAGATGTATAGCATTAGATGGACAGTCAAAGTGTCTTCTTGTCTTGTCGGCTCAGTTCCCATTCGGATGTTCGCGCTGGACAATACGATGCTGCGGCTCCAATGCTGACTCAACAATGACATAGTAATGATCACGTGGAGATATGTCCGGATGCATGTAATTCCGGCCGTCCTTGATACCTAGTTACTATTCCTAGGTAGGAGATGTTAGCGAGCCCAAAGCGGAAAGCGGTTGGCTTGGCCGCCAAGAGTTGCAAAATAATACACACAAGCGAAGCGACATCAACAACGACGAAGAGTCTAAGCCAGTCGAGATATTCAACTGCGAGCCTTCAATTCCTTCCACACCGTTCCTCTCGACTCGACTCGCCTCCAGCCTACATCATGTCGTACGCAGGCAGACCTAATTTGTCGGACGATGTCGTCTGGGAGATTGCCCGTACGTTTTGATATCTTGTTGATTTTGGAACCTTTTCGGAGGACGCTTTGGACTGATCGTGAAATTGAACAACAGGCACCCAGAACTCGTTCATGGTGAAGCGTGCCGGCGTCCAATTCTCCCGCGACCCTCTTAACTTGGTCAACAAGCACTCGCGAAAGGTTTGCGCCTTCTATATATCGATATCTACACATCTCAACATGGGGAAGAAATGTACTGACGGATGGGCCTTGCTTGAAATTTAGTATGCCGGGTTCGCGAACTCCAAGGTACGGACATAATTATTCCACGAACGGAAACGAAAAACAGCAGATAATTGGAGCATGCGATATGGGAAAGCCAGAAACATGAGACTGATTTATTTTGTCATGAAAATACAGGCCATTGGAATCAATGCCACTGAGAGTGGAAACATCGCCGTGACCACCAAGAAGCCCGCCATGGGCCACAGACCGGCCTCCAGCACCGTCACCAACACCTACAGCTCCACTGCTACCAGCCGAAAGTAAGCTTGACCTTTTCTTGCATCTGATGTTGGATGCAGGGAGAAGAGGGAGAAGAATTGAACTAGGGGAAGAGCAATACGATTTGTTGTGTATCTTCGAGGATGAATTGGCTGATGTGGATATTTTTTTTAAAATACAGGATCTACAAGGGCGTCGCCAACACCGCCGCCAAGAGCGGGTACCGTCCCGATCTCCGCGCTGAGGCCGTCAGCCGTGTCAGCGCGATCAGAAAGTCGCAACGGCCCAAGAAGGAGGCTCCCGTGAAGAAGGCCAGAGGAGCCAAGGCCCGGAAGGCTGCTGAGGAGTCGTCTTAGGGGGTTTATTTCTTTGGTTTGAAAGGGATCGCTTGATGGGAGTTTATTTTGCTTTAGGTGGGTGAATTTGACTGGAATATCGATTTGATTTGGGGCAACGGGGTTAATTAATGGAAACCTGAAACCTCAACTCTTACGGAAAATCCCCCGTGGGGAGTGGGAGAGGGAGAGGGAGGGCTATCTGGGAGCCGAGAGTTCCATTTGGTTGAAAGGGTTTCATGAGACAATTCCTTTCTAATTTAAACCACAAAAAAATTATAAATCCAAAGCCTTTAAATCGAAATTCCAAGTCCATGTTTACTCATAGCTCCTTTCGTTATATTCAAATGAACATGATTGTGTCCGCTACTCACTCTTAACTTATTTACCACCTTCACTCCAACGTCCCATCCCCTATATCTATAGCGACAGCAGTCTAGGAACAATAAATTATCTAACCAGTCCCATTAAAAGGGTATTGGCCGAAAATGATGTCACGCTAGCCATCAGGGTATCATTTGCTCCGCAACATTCCGGGCATTTTCGAGGGTCAATTATAATTTTACTAATCGAATAAATCAGCCATCTTGAAAATTGGTTGGACGACAAGAGAGGGAGGGAGAGCCCCAGAAAATTATCTGCTGGAGTATGTATGGCATTTGTCGCTCAAATGAGCAAGGTAGCTTAGATATATTGGGAAATGTATTCAAGTACAAGTACTGTCTGTAACCTAATGTTGTTGTGCTTGTTGCGGTATTATCGTGTATTATTGTTGACGATTCGTATGTAATACCAATACAGATACAGCCCCTCCACGACATGTGACACGCCCCTCGCGGGCTTTGTTCTGATTCTCGTCGGGCGAATCTCAACTTGCTTCCGGACTCCTCAACCTCTCAAACCTCTCTTCTTCTTCTATTCTTCTGCTTCAAAAAGCTCAATCTTTCGTAAGTCACCTATCTCCATACCCTTTCATCCTGTAACCTGCCCAATTCTCATCGAGCCCTCCTAGATTCGACTGTCCGCGAATTCAGATTACCCCACTCCGATACATCCCGCCCAAACTAGCCATCATGGTCAAAGCAGGTTAGTTATGCTCCAAAGAGCTATCATGTTGTCTAGGGAAAAGGCTTCTTCTAACTAATTGCTAGTCGTTCTCGGTGCCTCTGGTGGCATTGGCCAGGTGTGTGCTTCCTATATCGACTACGGGACACCCAAAAACAGCCAAGATATACAAAGAAACCAATTTCAAATTGTTCTTAATCAGGTAGTATATGAAGCGGATACTAACTCTGCTCTCAATATATCTCTAGCCGCTTTCCCTTCTCCTCAAAGCCAGCCCTCTCGTTGATCAGCTCGCTCTTTACGATGTCGTCAATACCCCAGGCGTTGCCGCTGACCTCTCTCACATCTCCTCCATTGCCGTATGTATTCCCCGATACACCACAGATATGAATTGGAATGCTAACAATCGTCTATATAGACTGTCAAGGGATATCTACCCAAAGACGACGGCCTTAAGGATGCCCTCACTGGCGCTGATGTCGTCGTCATCCCCGCCGGAATTCCTCGTATGCAATCCCATACATCTCACCTCGTACCTATTCCAGAGCTGAATTAACCACGTTTCACCCCATCAGGAAAACCCGGTATGACCCGCGATGATCTGTTCAAGGTCAACGCCGGAATCGTTCAGACCCTCGTCAAGGGCATCGCAGAGCACAGCCCTAAGGCTTTTATTCTCATCATTTCCAACCCCGTCAACTCCACTGTCCCCATTGCGGCTGAGGTTCTCAAGGCTGCTGGCGTTTTCGACCCCAAGCGCCTCTTTGGCGTCACCACTCTCGATGTCGTTCGTGCCGAGACCTTCACCCAGGAGTTCACCGGTCAGAAGGACCCTTCCAAGACGACCATTCCCGTCATTGGTGGCCACTCCGGCGAGACCATCGTACCCCTTTTCAGCCAGGCCAAGCCAGCTGTCAACATTCCTGCGGATAGATACGATGCCCTTGTAAACCGTAAGTCGAATCTTTGACACCTGCAATTGACCAATCCGTTTGTACTAGTCACTAATTAAGGAAACAGGCGTCCAGTTTGGCGGTGACGAGGTCGTCAAGGCCAAGGATGGAGCTGGCTCTGCCACCTTGTCCATGGCTTATGCTGGTTTCCGGTAAGTTCCCCTCCCCTCCCTCTCTAACGGTTTTCGGATATAATGTACTGTACATGTACTGCACATTGACTAATAATGAACCCAGTTTCGCCGAGAGCATCATCAAAGCCTCCACGGGCGAGAAGGGTATTGTCGAGCCAACTTACGTCTACCTTCCTGGTGTTGAAGGAGGCGATGCTATCAAGAGCAAAGTCGGCTTGGATTTCTTTTCTATCCCCGTAGAACTGGGCGTAAGTAAACCAAGCCACCCCAATGGAATTAACTTTGGACAGATGCACACAGACTAATATATGAAAACAGACTTCCGGCGCAGAAAAGGCCCAGAACATCCTCGGCGATATCACGGAGCAGGAGAAGAAACTTCTCGAAGTCTGCATCAAGGGCCTCAAGGGCAACATCGAGAAGGGCGTCGAATTTGCTCAGAGCCCACCCCCAAAGTAAACTCCCAACCCAACCCAGCCCGCTCTATTAATTCCTTCTACTCCTACCCTCCATCTTCATCATCAGCATCATAATCATAGCCAAAAATGAAATTTCTTGCGCTCCAATTCAACCGTCCATCCATTAGCGCTTGTTCATTCCCCAAAAGTGAACCGCACCTTTTTTCTTTTTTCCTTTTTTTTCCTTGCATCCCTTGCCCTAGGCATCCGCCCAAACCGAAGAATAGAAGAAAGGCACAAAAACACGAACTGTAAGCGAGAGGCATGTTTACTAATTAATGGTTTTATTTCCCTCCCTCCTTTTCCGGCGGATAGGCTCTAGGATCATCATATAAGACAGACACAAGCATACACAGCATAGATCGCGATGAGACAACGCATATGGAACAAAAAAGAAATACATTCAGCTTTCCCTCATACATTTCTATATAGCGAGTGCCTTGGTAGTGGGTCAGCAAGGGCCGGGTTGGTGGTTTCGGCTTTAAAGAAAAAAAGATGAACCTAATACAAGAATGAATAGAATGGCATGTTCTCTAGAAAATGAATACATGCGTCACGTTTCAATTCCTTCCGGCACCACCTGTTGGGGCATTTCCTCCTACTTGTTCCATGGTACCGACTATCGAAGGAAAAGAAGAAAATGAAAAATGAAAATGTAATAGAGAAAGATAGAATGCAGAAAGGAGACTCGGCAAGTATCCATGAAAATTTGATTTCATTAAACCCTAAGTTCCGTAAACATGTACGAACTCCTAGTAACTCCAAAGAAATAAATCAAAATGAACAAATAACCCTACAAAATAGCACAGGCCAGGGTATTTATTTACTCAAGTTAGGGGGTATCTCAACATGTTCATGACTTGGGGTGTTGTAATTGCTGCTGTGGCTGTGTTGGCGGTTGCGTTATCTGCATCGTCTTGATCTGAAATGTTGCGCTGGGGAGGTCTGACGACTCAGCTTGCACGGTGGCGGTTATGCCCATGCTTGCTAGGCCACCGCGGATTATCCCGCAGGGGAACCAGAGGTACTAAACGTTGAGTTAGAGAGGGCTTGCTTGGATGTTAAGTTCTGCGGGGTGCGCGGGTCTTGCAGATAAAGGGGGGAAAATTGGCGGGTAGCTGATGATCCACTTTGATATCCTTTAATTTCTTTCGCTTTTGCTGGGATACTTACTGATTGTGCCTTTGCGGTGGCTTCGTTCCGATTTGACATACTCATTCGTATCAAAGGGCGGAAGGCGTTATCGGTTAGAACGTACACGCCCTACAGACAGAACTTTAGTGATATGTTCACCCTGATACGCACGACGCTTGATCCAATTATCAAAGGGTAACGGGGTAGATAGAATGGAATAGAGCGTCGCTTGGGAAGTGAAAATGGGGTGAGGGTATGTTGGGGAGTTGAAACCCCTTCCTGGTGTTTGCTTCAGTACCCTATGGTTCGTTTTAAGATTATCAATTTGCTTCCGGAATAAAATCGTCCAAAAATCTTTGCAAAGGAATTTTATCACATCGAGATTATCTGTGAATCGGGGTCTGTCTCGTGAAAATCTATCGGCGCATCCCATACATATGATATCAGTTAGCCAATGTTGGTCCAACATAGAGAAGGGATATCGTGCGGTATGCAAATGGGAAATTGTAGTAGCACGAAATAGATCACCAGTACGGGGATATAAGAAAACGATTGGAGAAGAAGATATGTAGGAATATACGATATCGTACATCCATTCGTCACCAATGCTCACTCCCAATCCCAGTCCAGAAATGCACAGGAAGCTGGAGTATACCAATCTATACATCTTCGATATATGGGGCATATCTCCATGTATATTTGCCTCACCTCTCAGCCAACCCTTGTCCAACTCGAAACCCCAACGTCTCCAATCTATAAAACGTAGCTTCGCGATGCTCTTCTTCGTCCAATTTTCCTTCCACACCTGATAGTTCCTCCGCTAGTCGCTCAGCCATTGGCACTAGTTCTATGAGGAGTAGATCTAGACATGACGCGCTGACGAAACGGGCATGCGGGTCCGATACGTTGAACGGTTGGGGAAGTGTGTCGACGGACATCTGACTGAGAGGGCGGGGTGTAGGGTTGATGCTTTTGTTCGTGCGGAGAACCGCTGGGGATTTAGGATAAGTTGTTCGGAGCGGAACGAGAAGGGACCGGTGCTGTTTTATTTGGGAAAGTATTAGGATTGCAGGGTGTCTGAGATTTGAAGAAGTATCATTCTTTTAGTGTCTGGGAGGATTTTGAGGAGTAATTGAGGCGTAGAAGGAGAGTTTATTGAAATGTGAAGAGAGAGAGAGCTTTCTTATCTGCGGAGGATGGGATGGGGATGGTAGATAACTAGTTACCTAATCCGGTTAAGCTCTTCATCATTTATATACATCGGTTTTTATAACTAACTTCACTGTGAATTATATCATCTCACTAATACTCAGATAATAATCAAGAATTCAGAGAAATTTAGACGAAGTAATAGGAAAGTTGAAACTCTTATCCTATATAATAGAAGGTTACAGATAAAAGAAAATATTAGCTTAACTGACAGCTATATCCATTATTAAATAGATACATAGATTATCTTCTCACTATGATAATGTCTTCTCTGAAGAAGAGATATTGAAAATTATTAGACATAGAAATTTAATGTGAGAATCATCCATATTATTAAGAATACAGTAGTCTATGATTGCCAATACTCTCTTGTGTACGAATATAGATTGATTACTGTTTTAATCAAAACAAAGCATTGCGCTTAGGCTATTAGAGGAGAATGATATAGAACCTCATGTTCTCGGTTCGGTTTGTTTATGGGGTTTGACGGTTTCTAACGCGTCTCACTTTGAAAACCAAGGAAAGACAACGAGGGGAAGACAAGGCATATGCAATGGGACTTGGGCAACAATCCACGTTTAATCATTTCTAGATATTCTAGCTCAAGGGAAAAAAAATATGTATCATTGGCTCCCGAACGCCTCGCTCCACAAGGTTGCCCGTATTATCCCTAATTCAAATAACGTAAATGCCCATGCTACGTGCGGGTGGTGTAGCAGGCAAGCAGACGGTAGATGGCGACAATCCCCGGCCAAAACGATTCCTTGCGCCGAGACTTCCTTTCACACAAGTGGAAGAGAACAGAATAAAATATACGAATGAAATAGAAGACTGCGCTGGAAAGCAGGTAGCAATCGAAAATCTTCCCAGACAAAAACCTCTTGTAAACCACAATAGTCGATTATTGACATTTTGGTGAATAAAAGATTTTTTAGGCATCATAATAAAACGGGTTCGCGGCTGGAGAGTTAGATTCACTCTGACTGGAGAGGCCAAAACTGGCATTGCTCACGTTGGCCCGTGGGGCAAAATCTGAATACCGATGTCTCGAATATTGACTGGAGCTAAGTTGTAGGTGTGGGCGCTTTGCGGGACGAGGAGGTTCCTCCTCTTCATCGTCGCTTATAGTCAAGTCAATGACCTGGCTAGCTGGTCGTTTATTATTTGGTGTTGGCCAAGAGGCAGACTGAGTGGATGAAAGTTCCCCAGCCTGTGCTGGTGGGGTGCGGTGAAGGGTCATTGCGGTAGACGGCTCCTGTTTTAGGGAGACTACTCGTGAATCTTGGATTTCTATTAAATCATCATCCCTGCCATCGGTTGCGGGGGATGGGTCTCCGCCCGGTGTCAGATTGTCACCGTCTCTTGATATATGCCACGTGCCGTCTGGGTCAACTGTAACTTGATCAAGGCTCGGCGGTGTCGACCTCAGTATAATATCGACGTATCTAATTGCGTTAGTTAGAGGTAAATAGTGGATGAGTTTGAATCCTTTGAGAAATACTAATGGCTTACTGGTCGATTTGCAGTGCTTCGAAGTTCGTTGCTTTGTTGCACACAGGACACGTCCACGTCGGAGCCTGCTCTTGCAATTGTAGAAACGATGTCGCATCGAAGCACTGGTTATGTAAACAAATCGTAGACCTGCAGGGAACCGCTATTCGAAGGGTTGATAGGGGGCATTTTAATGACATTACGGTAGAAGTCGCAACAATGTCGGCATCTTCGGCTTTGCTTTTCACTAATATTGTTTTGTCAGATATGATTGAGCAGTTCGTGGTACATCCATAATCCGAGAACCTCTTACTTTCACGTATAACTTGCTCAGCCGATATTGTTTTGCGATCTCGTAATCGGTTCACCAACTCCTCCACTGAACGTTTTCGAACAAGGTATATAACTACAAAGTATTTCTACACATAGAAAATTAGTTCAACGAGCCAAAGTAACACATATAGTGATGGGCCAGGCCTGATGAGTAGTTGTTTATGGCTTGCCTTCTGTGTAAGTGCGTATGTCATAACGACGTGGTTAGCATAGCCAGCCTTCTTTCGGATGAAACCGGTAATGTCTGCAGGCCGCGTTGAACCAGGCTTGTTCTTCAGCCCTCGTAAGTTTGCCTTAACGTCGTCTAGGTTCGCCTTGAGCTCAACTTGGTGAGGGAAAGTAATGTCACTTTTGGTATACTGAGTGAGGCCGCTATCTACTGCACAGTAAACCATCACGCGCCAAGATGGGTCATTTTGCAGCCGGGCTGCATTCATCGCTGAAAGGACAACTTTTAGATTTACGCTATCTCGCGTACTTTCCCTGACTGCAAAGATTTTAGTCATTTGCCGTGCAAAGCATTCTGAGAGCATCTAGAGCTCACCTTTGCATTCTACCACTGGTGTCAACGGTTCTAGTATAGAATAAAAAGGGCTGTCCTTAAACCTAAGTCGACCTAGGAATGCAATTAGTTCAAAACCAAGTATACATGACCTATGGGAAAGCATACCATCAGGAAAGGAATGACTTGGAGTCATTGGGAGTGAAAAGGTGGACACTGGTTGCTGCGCATATGTGGACGGTGCAGATTGAGGCTGTTGGTAGGTAGCAGGAGACTGTGAAGGAGTGGATGGCGGTGGATGTTGAGCTGTAGCATAGATGAATTCTTTCAGTAGATTATATCTATCGTTTTGCCCCGAACGAAAGCATTGTTCAAGTCCTGGGGGAATCCAATGTCAGTACTGCTTGCTGCCCTTGCGGCTAGAGGGTTTGAGACTTACGGCCAATTATTCGTTCTTGTAAAACGGCCTTAACACCCGAGACTGCAAGGCCCTCATATCGCAATATGTCCTTTAGTTGGGCATTTAATAACGACTTCACCAGAGCTATAACCCGTTGCAAGTCTGCCATATCCTGTCCTGTTGAAGCCATTTCGAGAATTCGTCGACTCTAGGCTAACGGCTACGAAGAGGAGGTGACATAGAAGGGGCCGAGTTTGCTAGGTACAAAGGCGGGAGGATACATTTGCGAATAAAGTTACAATAAAGGTCGGTAGGACAGAGCGAAGTGAATCTATGAATCTGGCTGCCGCCTCTCAAAATATCGTCGCGTTGTTGCCGCCTCCGGCGAAGATGATAGCTCGGATGAAATTATTTAGCGACGGTGACCTCACTCTGCGGGCGGCTGCTGACATAAGCCGATTCAGGCCAGGCCAGCCCCACCCACCCCAGGGAGAATTTTCAAGTCGATTGCTTCCCTCACCAAACCAAGAAGAACTTAAAGAAGAGAGGGATTAAGCTTCCAATCACCATTATAGTCATTGACTGCTGTTGCAACGCATATTCAGCGAGGATACCCTGCCCTTCAGGCCCCTTCTGCGGTTTGTTGCGCGACTAGTGTATACCTGAAAAGCCGTCCCCTCCACATCACCTCTCCACGCCTTGGATTCGAGTTGATATAAGGAACTTCCCAAAATGGCTAAAGGTCTCCGCTCCACCGTTATGAAGCGCAATAAGGCGAAGCTGCGTGCCGAAGTGTTTGGCCCAGTTGTTGATAGGAGGACTGAAAGGCTTTCAGCAAAACTTCAAGAGCTGGTAGCCAAGCCAAAAGAAGTGAATATGAATGATGCAGGTATGGAACTAGCCCGCTTAAGTTTTCTCTTACATGCGTTGTAATCTAACATCTGTATCCCAGATAAACTCGATGTGAGCAAGGAAGGAGAAATCAATGAGTCAAAAGGTGCGCTCGCATCGCAGTCTCTGCTATTTTAAAGCAGACTACAATTCACAATCCTCCTCCCTGACCGGCCATTCATAATCCTAGCAAAGATGCTGAACTTTGATTTCATGATTTTACAGAAATGGATATTGATGAACAACCGGAAGCAGCTAAGCAACCTGCTGGAAATACCGGACGAATCCAGAAAAGAGTTCGACGGAAGACACGGCCCTCGATTACATTTGCAGCACACCCTCAGAAGGCGAAGAGACTCAGCAAGCGGAAGTGAGGGATATGGCCTCATTGATGACTGAGTTTGTTGTCTTGCCTCGCATGATACCCGATGCTCTATCTAAAAGTCATGGTCACTGTTTGGACTCGGCGTACTAGGAGTGCTATATTGAAATTGGGCATGCCCACTGGCGTTTGCGGATTGTCTGGCTACGTTCCTATATGTTAAATTATCCTCAAATAATAATAGAACTGTTATAGACCTAGATTCTTTGCACATTGGAAGTAATTCTTATAAAAGGCCAAAAACAGAAGGATATAGATGAAAGGTAAAAAATTTCTCCAATTAATAAATAATCTGAGGATAATCTATAAAAGGAGGAGCTTGTAGATAATCGGTGTACACAGCACATGCTAACTAGATCCAATTTTCAATGGTGGTCGTTGACTTTTTCATCATCATATTTGAATATTATTTTTCCTGGTCTTTCTTGGCTCGCGTTGTTTTCTCGCGCCAATCGCCAGTCGAACATCCCAAAAGCCAGACAGAATACTATATAAGCAAGAAAACAACAACCAGACCAAGCAATGGAGAATCAGAGGCATATGAGGGCGAAATCTTCATCAATTTTTCTTGAATTTTTGTTCTTCAAGTAACTGCTGATTCGTCCTTGGAAAACATCATGGCACCAAAATGGCCCTGTTACCTTGCAAACCTGTTGTTCCCCCTGGCCATTCTGCTATTCGCCAGCGGCTTTTTCCCCTATAAACCTTTTATTCCCGGTCTCGCGATGTCTTATGGAGAATCGGGGGACATTCGATCATCTGCGCCCTTTGACAGAGTCATATTCATGGTAGTGGACGCACTAAGGAGGTAAATTCGGTCTCCGATATTTTGCTTGGTAGACAGATTTCTCATTGCCGATTCTGAACATACAGTGATTTCGTATATTCAAATCAGTCAGGCTTTACATTTACTCAAGGGTCAGTAGCATAATATATATCCGAATTTGCGGTATATTTTTACACCTCGTCCTAACCGTCCCATAGGTTGATCAAAGATGGAGCGGCATTCCCATTTACTGCCCATGCAGGTGCCCCTACGGTCACAATGCCGCGGGTCAAAGCTATCACGACAGGCTCGGTGCCTTCGTTTTTAGACGTGATTCTTAACCTTGCAGAATCTGATACGTCTTCAACGCTCGTCTATCAGGATACGTGGCTTGCCCAGTTGAGAGCTCGACCTGGTGGGCGCCTAGTCATGTATGGAGATGATACATGGTTAAAATTGTTCCCGGGGTTTTTTGACAGGCACGATGGCACAACGAGTTTTTTTGTATCGGTTAGTACAATCCCACGATTTTCGACGGAATCTCATATATTTAGGAAGCCAAAACGCTGAGGTCTTAGGTTAGGATTTTGTTGAAGTGGATAATAATGTCACTCGTCATGTTCCGGAGGAGCTTATGATGGAGGACTGGTCTGCAATGATCTTGCATTACCTTGGTTTGGACCACATTGGCCATAAATCAGGTCCAAATAGGTAAGGCCTCTGGCAATTTCGGCTTCCTTGAATCAACTTCTAATATAGAGCTAGCGCCCATATGCTCCCCAAGCAAAAGGAAATGGACTCGGTTGTTAGGGAAATATATAACGCTATGGAGAGCCAGGAACATCTTGCGTCTACTCTCCTCGTATTATGTGGTGATCATGGTATGAATGATGCTGGGAACCATGGCGGCGCGTCTCCAGGGGAAACTTCGCCAGCTCTCGTGTTCATATCCCCGAAAATCCGACAAATACGGAATCAAGGTCACTCCCTTGAACCACCTTCAGGGCACTTCAAGTACTATCAGTTAGTCGAACAGTCTGACATCGCTCCTACTCTAGCTGGATTGCTCGGGTTTCCTATTCCACTCAACAGCCTAGGAGCCTTTATACCAGGATTTCTGCCTATGTGGAAAAACGGTACGTTAAAAAAAAAAAAAAAAAAAAAAAAAAAAAAAAAAAAAAAAAAAAAAAAAAAAAACCGGCTTTTCTCAACAATATTTAAAATGAATGTATACTGAGGTTGATCTAGGATTTGAAAGACTTAAAATTCTTATGGATAATGCTAGGCAAATTCGTAACGTTGTTAAGACGACGTTCCCGGCCTATGAATTTAGCTATTCTTTCAAAACAGATCTATGCACCCCTACACCAAACACGGAACTTGCTTCGCTTGAATGCAATTGGCAAAAGGCATGGCAGTTGGCCAGTGCAGCCCTGGATCATGGTGATCATTCCAAGGAAGTTGAGAATGCTCTTCTCGCCTTTTGCAGATCTTCTCAAGACGTGATGAGTAGTGCGGCAAGTAATTACAAAATGGAAAGGCTCCACATTGGGATTTTCCTTGCTGCCCTGGCGGTCATACTATCCAGTATTGCGTCCCTTGGTGTCATGACAGGTGCTAGAACATTTGGTCTTTTCATTTCCATAGGCTACGGCATCATGATGTTCGGAAGCAGCTATGTGGAAGAGGAGCAACAATTTTGGTACTGGATTCTCAGCGGTTGGACATTCTATCTCTACGCAAGGCCTTACATTCAAAGAAGGGGAAAAGACAGCGATGGCGATGGTGGGAAAGCATCGCCTAAATCTGTTCAGATTTGGGCTTGTTTAATCTTTGCTATTTCATCGCGAATTATGCGACGATGGAATCAAACGGGTCAGAAATTTGCTGCAGAACCTGATATAGCAAGAACGTTCTTCCCGAACCATACGAATATTCTTTGGATACTGATTCTCCTAACATACACTGATATCTGCCAAAAAATGTTGCGACGCACAACTTCAGCCGGAGCCGCATCATTCTCGCGACTTTTCTTCCCTATCTTAGCTAGCTTTGCATTTTTGTTTAAGCTCACCTTTACTTCTGCCGATTCCCCAGAACTCCTCCAAGAGACCTTAATATTCAACCAGCTGATAGAAAGCGTCTCTGGGGTTTCCGTTATTACCCAGGCCAGGATCGTGCTCACCGGCATTGCCATAGCCCTGGCGTACGTGATATATACAGAAATCCAACGGAAACGAGCGCTCAAAGCATTCCTCCTCAAAATCCGCAACCAGCATGATGCCCGCCTCCCAAAAATGCTGAATATCACTCTCACAAGCGTCAGGGTCTCAGGAGATCTCCACGACATTGTGAGCCTTTTCCTCGTCACTCAATCAAGATCAACTAATATCCCACTGTACCTCATTCTCCGCCTTCAGCATTGGGCCCTCTCCTCCATGAAGCTGTCTGGTGATGAAATAACTATCACCTCACTAATACTGCAATACGCAACATTTTTCGCTATGGGCGGCTCCAACTCAATCGCCTCTGTCGACCTCTCAAATGCCTACAATGGCATCGGTGATTATAACGTCGTCCTCGTCGGTATCCTGACATTTATAGGCAACTGGGCCGGCCCTATTTGGTGGGTTTTCTCGACAAACTCGCTGTTCATCGGCGATGACGGATGCACTTCGGCTGTCAATCGCCGCCGTCATGGTAATCATTTGGCACTGCTTACCTTCTTCGTCACGATGAGCCTGTTGGCGGTAATGATGGCCTGCACCGTGCTGCGGACTCATCTCTTCATATGGACGGTTTTCTCCCCAAAGTTTTTGTATATCATGGCTTGGAGTTTAGTACAGCATCTGGCTGTCAATCTTCTCCTTGGACATGTCATATTCGTGTCGATTTGTTAGATAAAAATTTTATCAGCCATGTATAGAGAATACATGCATGTAGAGATTATAGATAGTTTTGGAAATACAAATATCTTACTGGTATCATACAGAATAGAAAGCAAAATAAAATAAAATAATCACAAAACGCCATTGTCCTGCCCCTGAATACCCCGATCCCAAAGAAGAAGAAATTCCAATCGTCCTACATTACAATCCCCCAAAGATATCATCAATCGCATCCCTCTGCTTTTGCTTTCGCTTCGTCTTAAGTTTCTTCCTCTTCTGCCGCTCTTCCCCTTCCCCGTCCTTCTCATCCACACCCAACTGCGACAGTGGACTTTCCCGCTTCAACTTCTTCACCATGCCCGCCTTCCGCTCTTCCCCAGCAGCATCTAAAATCAGGGGACTTTTTCCCCCCTTTTTTTCTTTGAGTCCGGCGTCCCCATTCTCCTTCCCTCCTCTGTTCTCACCACTAGCCGCAGAATCCACCACCAAGCCGGGGAGGTAAAGCGATCTCTTCACCACCTCCCCAACATCAACATCAACACTCTCCTCGTGATTGGCGGGTACAACGGCTGTGGTAGCAGTGGTAGTGGTAGAGGTCAAAGTTACGCCGGTTCCAGTATTGGCGTCGGGCTCCGTTTGATATCTCTCTCCAGATGCGACTGTCTTTGCAGCTTGAGCTAGAACCGCGAGAAGGACGACGCCCAGAGCGGAGAATTGTGTATCCGCAACGACGGTAGAGAAGGCGCTGTTGTAGGGTGTTAGGAAGTAATAATGGTCTTTTTTCAAAAATGCTTCGAGGGGATATAAATATGCAGAAAACACAGGGAAAGACGGGGCTTATAACTTGAAATGAAAAGCATTCGGGTCTGAAATACAAAAGGAGAAACCAGAGCTGAAGTCATTAAGAGAGTCACACTGACAGACTCCAATAGGACACACTCCCTCATTTTGAAAAGTGCAAACAATGGAGAATCATAAGGAAACAAACAAGCACGAAATGAAGGGAAAAAAAAAAAAAGCCACTTCAAACTCACACGTAACACCTCGGCACAACAAAGACATGCATATATCGCATCATCTCGAGCACTTTGGCACGGAAGCCACCGTCCTCATCACCATCCCCTTCATCCCACTCCCATTCCCACCTCCTAACGGCCCCAAGTAATGCGCTCATCGACCGCTTTAGCATCGCCAGCCATTTCCACCATTTCGTGCCGTGGTGCTGATTCTTGTTACGGTGGTAGAGGAGGTGGAGGGTTATGTGGATAGATTTGAGAGTGGAGGATTGGGGGAGCCCCTTTTGCTTTTTTTTGTGGGTTGGAGGCATTTTTCTTTTTTTTCTTTTTTTCTTTTGCTTTGTTTTTGTTTTGGGAAATGTACGAGGTAGCTTGTTACTTTCCTTTATATTGAGAATGACACTTTTTTTTTTCTTTCTTTTTTAATCAGGGAGAGGTATTGCTGGTTTTCTTGCTATCTTTTTTTTAAAAATTTCTCCTCTCTCATTAGAGGAGGATGAGAGCCAAGTTCGCTCGCTTTTTAATGTTCTCCGTGCCTCCCGGGCATGTGTGAACAACGGTTGACTTGGTTACATTCATCGGGTTTGGTGTAAATGGTTCGAGGGAGGTTGCCGCTAAGCTTTTTTTAGGCGCGAAGGTTTGAAAATTAGAATGGAAACTTTAACTATCCGACCTCGCTTACTGTCTGTTTAGTTTTAACTATTGGCCCGTCAAACGCGAAGGACACTGCTAAATACATACAACTGAAAGCTTCACTAATACAGCCGTGGCCTCCCCACTTCCTTCCCTTGAGAGCTGAGTTTGATACCGCTACAACATGCTATTTATGTGGGACTTGGAGATGGTATGATCCCCATTTAATTCCACGCTGCTATTTGGCAACAAAAAACCTCCAAGGGACTCCACAAGGGAGGGGGAAATTTTTCGGATAAAAGATCCATCCGTGTCTGTGTAGTTAAAACTACAATACATACATGAGACTAAAAGTACATGGGTAAAGGAGGGAAGATCGCCTAAGAAGTGAGAGAAGGTCGTGGGCAAGAAAGGTAAAAAATCAAAATCAAACTTAGAGAAGAAAAAGATCCACCTCTTATCTGTCCCATTTTTAAGGTAGATTAATTAAGTCGTTCCCCACTTCGAGCGTGTCGTCTCAAACCCAGAAACTCGTCGAGCAAAGGAATAGAAATAACACAGCCGAGCAGAACATGCGAACAAGCATGAGCACGAGCAAGCATAATCGAAAGGAGTAAAGAAAACACAAAAAAGGTAAATAAAAGCCCAACTCAACTAAGTTCCATTCCAGCAACCAACAAAACCCAACAACACACGCCTGAGCTCCTTTTCTGAAAAAGGATCAAACCAAACCAAACAACTTGCCTGTCGATTGATGGGTTCTACCCAATCCCAAATTTGAGTAATGGGTACACAGAGCAAGATGGATAAAAGAGGGCTCTTTCCTTTTTTTTTTTCTTTTTTTTTTTTTTTCCCATGCCTGTCGATCAGGCATTGATTGAATTGGCCTTCCATCACTCTCCTTTCTTTTTCCCTTTCTTTCTCTCTCTCGCTTCCGGAAAATTTTTCTTGAAGACTATTCCTTTCACAACCAAACAGTGGCATTCGGGTTCGAGAGAGGACAGGAGGGAGGAGAGCGGGTATGAATATGACACAAAAGCAAAAGGGAGAAACTGAAGAATTAAGTTACTGAGCGACCAGCCATACACAGCGCAAATTCAGACAACACACCCTGCTGGTGCTGAAGGGTGGTGAGGAAGGGAAGATATTATCGGAATCCAGTGGAAGGGCAAAACAAGAAATAAACACAAAAACCCCATTCGAAGCAGGCAAAAAAGGACAAAAAGAGCGAAAATGGATACTTTCCTTTCTTTCCTTGGCCAATCGATACCCACTTGCACACCCGCAAGTACGCAGAAAACGGCCCTCCATCCCTTCTCCTATTTTTCAAGAAGCCCGAGCGCCAACACCACCATCAGCACCAGAAACAGGGCCCTCATAACACGGAGACATCACCATCATCGGTAGCATCACACCACCGTTCCCGTTTCCATTCAACGCGCCACGTCTAGGCGTGAAGGAGCTGGAGGAGCGGACGTAATACGCCTCACGCTCAGCGGCGGTGGTCCCGCGGTCGAACTGGGAGCGACGACGACGCTGCTCGTCGCGATATTGCTGGCCAACACGTGGCGCGAAGAGGCCTGGGATTCATTTGTGTTAGTGCAAATGCTGCTTTCTATACATATGGGGGGAAAAGGATGGGGAGCTTTTGTATGGGAAGAAATGAGCCACGGGATGAATACATACCGACATGCTCTGCGTTTTCGACGCTACGACGCATTTTTGACGGGTTGTCTGGGCCTGGGAAACGATCCTCGGATCCAGCCAGGGGTCCAGTGCCGGTGTGGAAAATCTGAAGAGCGAACGGGATCAGCTATTTATCCCTCTTCTAGAGAAGCTTCTACGGAGGGTTCTTACCTTTGGGCGGAAGGAGGGATGCTCAAGCATTACGGAACTATTGCGGAATTTTTGGACCAGGCAGTCCTTTCCTTGGATAGCTAAATGGTGAAAACATCAGCGTATACGGAACTTCCCGCGGAACCAAATGAAAAGAATAGCGAAAGGAATAAGGAAAGAAAGGATTTAACTTACTGGCGTAGGATATTTCCGCAATTTTATCGCTGTTGAAGCAATTCCTTTTTGAATCAATTAGCATCATAGTTGGCTTCGCCACTATCCAAGTTACGGATTAACACATACCATGTATGACCCGCACGAGCTTTGGCAAACTAGAATGGAGGGAAAAGTAAGTGCGCTTATACGGATACGAGAAGGGAAGATAGAGCCCTACATCGATGATATCAATTGGCTAATTATGGAATGTTAGCATGGATGCAAATCGAGCTCATTGAGGGTGATATACTCACATCCTCGAAATTGATGAATGCATAGCCGACACTATATACGAAAATGTGCATCAGAACATAAACTACGAAGTTATGGGGGAAGAAGGCATGCGTGTCATTTGGTAACTAACTTGCAGTTATTTGCGAAATCTGCGACAACATTGTAAGTACTGGGAATACAACTAAGATTCGGGGAGAGATAAGCTTACCAATACGCAGATACATGAAATCGTATTTACCATGGCTAGTTTCGTCGACGATTTCCTTAAGCATGGCCTAGGGCAATATGTTAATATACACTGATATCTACCACAAACGGAGTATGGAATCCGTACGTACCTGATCAATCTTGTTTGGAATATTGCGAAGCATAATCTGGTAATGAAAGTCAGCAATCGACGAAAAAGCAAGAGACAAGACGAAACCAACTGTAGTGCGGACATCGACACCACAGCGGATGCGTTCGATGTCGACGAAGTTCTGATTGTTAGAGCGAGGATCACTATGGCGACTAAGTTCATGGCGAGGACGGAACCCAAAGTTATCGTCAGCCTTTGGCATCCAACCCATAGTTGCTACATGGTCATCAATCGGAATGATAGAGCGGCCAGTAGGGCTAAGTTCATGGTATGGACTAGAATGCATGTGAGTCATGGATCGACGACTGTATGGCCGCTTGTTCGACACATCAGATGAAGAGAAGAAGTCTCTGGATTCGAAAGATCCATGGCGAGGAGTTTGTGGCTCTGCCATGTCTGGTCTGTGGAGTTTAAGCTCCAGAACGCATTCCTAAGGATGAAATTTTTTAGCGAACAGCGCAATGCTATGGCGAGGGAAGAGAACTACTTACGTCCACAGATGTTCCGTTCAAAGTCGAAACGACATTATCAGCAGCACGAGTATCGAAGAACTCGATCAAAAACTCATCAACGTTTCCTTGGGTATTTGGCATGCCATGGAAAGCTTTGATATCGCCAAAAGTCTCCAAGAGATCCTTGAACGAGTGCGACACAACACGCGCATCCAAGGATGGGTTAGAGCTGTCATAAAAAACAGAGGCAAAAACTTGGCCTTCGAAATCGGAAACCAGACCAGCATTGGCCGGGTCAAACTTCTGGGCATACTCCCTTGCAGTCAAGGAGCGGATGCGCCATTCAGGATGAAGACGTCTAACTTTTTCGGAGGCATTTTTGGCATCACGAATGTCAGTAAACCCCAGATAGATGCACCCGGCAGAGCTGAGTTCCGTGAACACAGGGCCCTTGAGAGTCCCGAATTCGCGACGCTATTAGGGGAATTGCCATTAGTGGCCATCTGTACACTAGGTTCTCAAGATGATATCTACAGAAACATTCACTTACGTTGAAAATCTCAGCAAGAGTGAGATAGGGGAGGTTTGCTGGGACACCGTCTATAGCGAAAGCACGGTTGCGATTTTCGCCGTCGAACTTCCCTAGATGGGCAAACATCATGGGAAGCGGGCTTTTCACCAACTTTGCTTTCCCGATGGGGCCAAAACCCGAGAGGCGTAGGTTTGAGCGCGTCCCAAAGACATCACTAGCATCAGGAGAGGCATCAGGCTCTGAAGTGGCAGCTAAGTAGCCTTTAGCCATGGGCTGTGGCTGTTGATCTCCATGGAAAGCCGAACGGGCAGAAAATCCAAAAGGATTAATGCTGAACCCAGACGGGGTGAAGCTGGAGGCAGTGGGAGAAAGCTGGGCGCGACCAGCAGAAGATGGGGTGGACAAGAAGGGGTCTTGACCCTGATGATGGCCCAGTCCATTATTACTAGACAGGGCGTGTTAACAAGCTTTTTTCTCCTCCCTTTGTTTTTTTAACCAAGGAGAGCGATAACACGTCTACTTACATGGAATAGAAAGGACGGTGACTATCGTCAGGAGGACCACAGAAAGCCCTTCCGGCCTCGAAGCGGGACTTCAGACGGAGGTCTTCAGGGGAGAAGGCAGTAAGCTTTGTCTCAGGGGAGCCGTTGCGAGAGGCAGCCTCATCTGAGGAGCGAGGGCTGCTTGCAATAGCAGAAGATCCGTTGCCTCTCATTTTTGCTTGGAGAGCGAGATTTATCAAGCAAATCAAAGAGATGATGAACAAGGATGGTTTTGTGATCTCAAAAAAGGCCTTTCTTGCTTGAAGGGCTTGTTGTGGGCTTTTGAGTGTCTATGATGAGTTCGGTGAGAAGACGAAGAGGAGTGAGTTGCTACGATGAAGAAATCAAGTGGAAGCGAAGGATATAAGAGGAGAAACTGAAGCAGGGCAAGAAAACGCACGTGGAGGATCCAGCTAGGGAGAGAGAGAGAGAGCGAATACTGAGGAGCGAGCTTGTCTTGTCGGTATTGCTGTTGGAAGAGAAGGTTGGAAAGATATACGATGATAAAATCGTGTAGATGGAAAAGAGATATATCTAAGAGATATGTCGAGGAAGCTATATGAAAGACTTGGGGGCGGGGGGGATAGAGATGAGCAGCGGATGGGCGAGAAAGGGGGAGAAGGGAAAAAAGAGCGGGAAAGATCAGGAAACAAAACAGAAAGGCTGGGGAGATAGATGGAAACAGGGCATCAGACAGCCAAATAGACAGCCAGAAGAGGGGATGAGAGGAGGTTGGGATGGGAACAAGTGAATATACACGCCAATAAAGTGATGAAAGATAAACAGGAGGAAGAGAAGAATCAGGAGAATCAGAAGGGATAAGAAGGGATAAGAAGAGCTGTGAGCAAGTTGTGAGCAGTTGTGAGGGGGAAATCGGGTGAGCATCCAGCAACTTTGGAATGACGAACACAGGAGGAGGCTCTGTGAGGTAGGGTCTGCAGGGACACACCAGCACGGCAACCCAGCCACAATTGGCTACAATCGGGCGGCAGAGAGGGGGGAACAGCCTGTGGGGAGGGAGAGAGACGGACATCTACCAGCCTTGGAACCCTCAAAAGAGGGAAATGGAGGGGAAGACGCCGGAAGAGGATGAGACCATCAAGAGGGCGACCAGGAAAGGAAAAAAGCGGGGTTATGATGAAGAGACGAGGAGCGAGGTATATATATAGATATAGATATATGATATATATATATATATATATAGAATATCTATCTGCATATGAGTGAATACAGAACATGCAGTGAATAGAACTGGGTATGGATAGATAGTTAGTTATCTGATACTCAGTCAGAGAGCAAGAAGATCTTGATATCTTCCAAGATCAGAATTCTTCACTTATATACTAACTTAGCTGAAGAGAAAAGATGTACAGTTCACAAGTCTCTCCTCACACAGTAGAACAGGAGAAGAAGAGAATGATTTATACAGTGAGATAATACATGCACTCATGCACTCATGCACTCATGGAGATAGAACAATCACAGATAGCAAGAGGACAGAAAAATCTTGATGCTGGCAGCAAACAGCATCATAAAGAAGAAGCATTTCATCTAGTATTCCAAAGCAGCCCTGGATTCCAGATTCCTTTGGGGATCTTTTTAGCCAGAACCCGGACATACAGACGGCGGGGAGCAAGTACTATATGCCGAGTGGAAATAAAGGGGGTATATATAACGCGCGACAAAGCCAACCCACCACGGATAAGAAAACATCGGGAGTATTCTATCTTTGACTACTATTGACGATATAGTAGTAGCTAGACCATTTTACCTAGTTTGAAAAGCAAACCAAAGTAGAAAAACTAGGATCGATGTCATATATATTTTATTTTATATATGAGAGCCGGCATACTTCTGTGGCGTGTCAGGCGTCTTTTATTCTGCCGCCTGTTGCGCTAACTATGCCATGTCATTGGTGCGGAGCTATTATCTGCACCTCACCGCCCAACAGAGGCCACCTACAAGCGGCGGATCAGATAGATAGGCATCATCATCAACAATGGGCTATCATATCAGGCCATGAAACTCCAATAATATATTACACCTGGTAGCGCAGCTCGGCGCCTGTATGGATACCCCTTTTTGCTTACTTTTTGTCAATTCCTTATTTGATTGCTTCATCATGATTTAATGACCATAATAAACTCCACTTTGCATACCGATACCTCCGCCCTCCCGAAGTTATTCCGCAGCCATGCCTGCCGCAATCCCCTCACATAGAGACCCCTCTTATATTCTCAATCAGGTGCGTATACACTATTATAAACTCCACACCTAGTTAAAAAAGTAAATTCCTAACTAACATTTCCTACTTCCGCTACCATGTAATAATTAATATATATAGATCGTTATCTCTCCCTCAGACACCGACTACCTAGACCAACTCATCCCCTCTATCCGCGAATACAGCCGTGGGAACAAAACTTCCCAGCTCCTCCAATCTCTCTCCAAATTTGCCAATGACCGTGAATCAGACATCGAGAAAGCCTGCAACTCCAGCCACCAGGAGTTCGTCGCCTCCGTGAACCAACTGCTCCGCGTCCGCGAAGGCACCGTCAACTTGACCTCGGAAATCCTAGACCTCAACCAATCCATACAGGCAAGCACGGAGAGGCTAGCAGAGCAGAAGAAAGCCCTCGTGGAATCTCGCAGCCATAGGCAAAATATCGATGAGACGTCGCGCGCGTTACAAGATTGTCTCGAGGTGCTGCGCCTGGCGAATCAAGTCAATGAACTGCTAGCGAAGAAGAACCACTATGCCGCCCTGCGGGCACTTGACGAGCTGCAGAACGTCCACTTGAGGAGCGTCACGCAGCATAAAATCGCAGAGATGATCCAGCGATCCGTACCGACCACGCAAAAGGCGATTGCGGAGGCGGTCATGGCTGACCTGAACACATGGCTGTACCGTATTCGGGAAATGTCGCAATACCTCGGGGAGATTGCTCTGTACCATACCGACCTGCGCAAGTCCAGGCTGAAGGAACGCGCAGAGCTCAACCCATATTTCCGCCAGTTCCGGCTGAATTCGGCCATTGAGTTGGTCTCGGATGAGCATGAAGAATTTGATCTGCTGCAGAATGATGACTTGCAGGTGGATTTCACGCCGCTGTTTGAGTGTTTGCATATTCACCAGTCGCTGGGCCAGATGGATAGGTTTCGGGTAGAATATGCGATGACGAGGAGGAGGCAGAAGGAGCTTATTCTCCCGCCTTCGATATCTCTCGTTGAGGAAGACGGGGCAAGTTTGCATACGCTTCTAGAGGAGATTGCGGGATTTGCGATTGTTGAGCGGTCGACTATGAAGAAGATTCCCAATCTTAGGTCTCCTGTTGATGTAAGTCGGGAAGCTTTCGACATGCTAGGGGAATCTACTAATTTGTTAATTATTTACCTATATAGGTGGACGAACTTTGGGATTCCATGTGTCAAGGTGCCGTTACTTTGATTTCAAAGGCACTCCATACCGTGGACAATGCTGAAAATATCTTGAAAATCAAGAATTTGGTCGTCTTGTTCATGCAAGCTATGGATGTGGGCTACCCAGTACCTTTCTTTTACATAGATATGGACGTTTGTGCCTAAAAGTTATTGTTCATGTAAATACTGACAATTTGTCGTCTACAGACCTGGGGCTTCCCCGTTGGAGTCTTCGATAGCTTCCTCATAACCTTGTTTGAGAAATATGCTGAACTTCTCAAGAGGAGATTCAGTGACGATTTCCAAGAGGTATGGATTCGATATGGATTTCATCTTCCCCTATTAAAAAAAAAAAAAAAAAAAATCCTAACAATCGCCCTAGATTGTTTCAACCGACGACTACATGCCGATGCCAATTCAAAATATTGAAGAATACGACAAAGTCCTCAATGTTAGCTGGTATACCCCCGAGAAACCGCGCGAGGAACAAACGTAGGATCCATCTACCATCTATATACATGTTATTTTCAGCGATCACTGTTAACTCTTCTTCAGATTCCCCTGTGTTTTACCATTCTCCCAAATGTATCCGTTATGTTGCATCGATATCCGAAATTTCCTAAACCAATTCTATTTCTTCTCCAACGACGATTTCGAGCACCCAAGTATGATCGATGAGACTTTGAAAGAGGTACATGTAGATCATGCCCCACGACGTCTTTTACATATATGATTACTAACCCATCCACAAAAGTCCCTCGACTCCCTCCTCTCCAACAAAGTCTGCGAAACCCTCGTCGAGCGCCTCGGCTCACAATACCTAGGCCAAATCGTTCAAATCCTCATAAACCTCGAGCACTTTGAAGTAGCCTGCCAGGAGCTAGAGCTCCTCCTGGCCGCCGCACGGTCACCCAACTCCAGCTCAGCGGGCGCCGCCATAACCCTAAACGCAACGGAGAAATTCCGCAATAACAAGAAAGCTGCAGAAAAGCGGATTTTCGAAGTTGTGAATTCGAAAATTGACGACTTGATCGAGACGGCGGAGTATGACTGGACGTCGCCCGTGCCGCAGCGAGAACCCAGTAATTACATGCAGACGCTGACGAGATTTTTGTCGAATATTATGAATTCGACATTGTTGGGTCTGCCCACGGAGATTAAGGAGTTGATTTATTTTGACGCGTTGAGTCATGCGGCAAATATGGTATTGGTACGCTCATTTATATTTTTTACTCTCCCCTCCCCCCTCTTTTCCAAAAACCCCCCAAAGAATATATTATTGACGAAATGTAATTTCTTCTTAACAAAGGCGCTCCCCCTCTCCCCCGACGTGAAAAAGATAAATCCAAACGGCGTCGCCGCTCTGGCTCGGGATGTCGACTACCTAACCCAATTCGTTGACAGCCTCGGCGTGCCCATCCTGCGAGAGAACCTCGACGAGCTCCAGCAGACCGTCCAGCTGCTACAGGCTGAGAACACGGATGAGTTCTACGACATCTCCACGCGGAATAAGAAATATGGGCGCGTCGATGCGATGAATGGGCCGATTTTGTTGGAGAAGTATGTGCCCCTTTTCTTTTCTTTTCTTTTCTTTTTTTTTTTTTTTTTTTTTTCTTCTTTTTCTTTTTTGTTTTTTGGAGGAGGGTAGGTAGGCATAAAGCGGAGATTGATCACAGTGCTAACGACGAATCTCCATCGTGTGTTTCTTATTGTGTAGGCTTGTTTCAACGGTACACAGTCCGCAGAAGCAGGATAAGTTCAGTCTGTCAACGAGGTTCGGGATGAAGTAGTTGGCTGATTAGAAGTGAGACCTCTCATCATGGATAGATAATATAATTAATGGGATGGGGAGTTACAGGGTGCTGTGTTAGTTGTATGCTACCACAAATTGAGAGGGAAATGATGTTGTTTGGAAGGAGAAGGGGGTGGTGTGATATATCAATCAGCCAACCAAGAACATTTCCCCTTACTACCAGGGCCACATTATTTCAGATCCGCCATTTGACTTCTTTGATGTGATGACCCATATCAATAATGAAGATTAGGAGCTTGATATCGCCCGAAACTATTCAAGACGGGCAGTGTATACGTGTACAGGAACAGGAACAAGTTGCACACGGACAAATCACACAAACTAAACAAAAGAAAAGCGAGCAAGGTCATTCATTTTATATAGCTATGGATATGTATATGAAATAAACCCAACAAAAACAAATGAAACCAACTCCATTATACCCTTTGCGTTCCCTCCCTTTCCAAAAATACCCGTTCCTTCCTTCCCTACCCGTGCTTCAGCAAGAAAGAGAAAAAAGTAAAGAACCTTGAAGAAAACTCCTAATCCCTATTGTCATCTGCCATATATGGAGGGAATGGGCTCAGTTGTCGTTACGCCTTCATGTCAGCAGTGGTGTTTTTGATTTTGATTTTTTTATTTTTTTTTTAATTTTTTAATTTTTGTATTAGATATTTTTGTTTCATTTCATTTTACTGATATTTTTTGATATTAATTCCAGCAGCTCTCGCTGCCATTACCATTATTTCAAAACAAAAACGCTAGTACCATTTATTGAACTCTCACTATATATGTGCATGTTATATTTTCTGTTAGCATATCATCTCGCTCGACTTTTGTCAAAAAACATTAAAACAAAAACAAACAGGATCGGCGCGAGAAAGAAATAGGCAGCGAGAGCAGGAGATGTACGGACCTGTTGTGGAGGAATATGCGGGTACGGCGCATACATATTCTCAAACATCTGCGGCTGCGGCTGACCATATCCCGGGTCCGATTGGACGGCTCCTCCATACATCTGCTGCTGGCGGTAATCCTGCTCCTGGCCCATGGTATGCTGCCCAAGGGAGCCATAATCCGGAGGGCCCATATGGTGCTGCGGGTGCTGGACGCCTGGCTGAGATTGTGGGGGGAGTTGGCCGGGCGCGTTGTGCGGCGGAGGGGCGGTGGCCGCCGGGGGAGCTGTCTGGGCGGACCGTTTGTGGGGTGTAGCCTCCTCGCGCGGGACGATGTCAATGAGGAAATCGAACATGTCTGATTTGGAGAGGGCGGCGGCAATGTCTGAACGTTGGAGGGTTCGCCGTTTGTTGTCCTCGGCATGTATCCAGGCGCGCATAGTCAGTTCCGTTATGAAGATGTCGCAGCCCTTGGCGAATAGGATTGGGGCTTCGGCTGAGATCATCTTCACTTCTGGGTCCGCTTTCATCACTTTCTTTATCCGGGCCAGGGGCAATTGGTGAATTTTGTAGTCATGGTTGTCGGATTCGAGATGGTTGATCGTATGCTGCCAGTAGGTGGTGAGGATATCGCGCGAATTGCCCTGGAGGCCTTGGCTCACCTGCAAAGGGAATGAAGGAGTGCAATCTGAGTTAGCCAGATGAACGCTTGTTGGTTTGGTAGACATCTCGAAGGAGATCTGAAACAAATCGGGATCCTACTCACGTTGGCCCATGATCCTGTGTAGAGTTCGGGTACTGGCGCATATCCTTGAGCTGAGAGCTAGTTGTTTTGAAAACGTGCAATGTAAGTAGATGCTCAAAGCACGTCCAAACGGCCTATATATATTGTGTAATGTCAAGGATGGATGGATGGATGGACGAAAAACAATGGCGCTATTGTTTGCCCTTTGAACTAATTGACTGAAAGAGATATATCACCATACCGCAGCGCTGGCTCCTGCAAAGACGTTACACAGCTGTTAGTTGCCGTAATAAGATGGAGAAAGAAATTCTATAAAAGCAATCCCTTTCTCTAGTTTTAACTTCATTTCAAAACATCAAACAAGAAACTCCACGATGGCAAATGAACCCGGCTCTTTAACGAGGGTTGATAGTCCAGGACATGGACGTTGAGATAAACGAACGCGGTTACGCACCGTAATGGCCCCCGTTCCTGATGTTATATTCCGGCTCTGCGCGACCATGCTGGCCTCCGCCTGATTGTGTTGGATCCATCTCGGAGGATATACTCGAAAAACGCGCCGGAGTGGGAGCAACAACAATAGCTTTGAGAGGTGGAGGACAATCGGTCGAGACGGCGCTACTAAGAGGCTTGGGTAGATGGGGAAAATGCGGGAGGCAGCAGACGGAGAGAGATGGGCACGTAGAAGGTTATTACTGGGAGCGGAATAGGAAGATAGATAGCTGAAGGGTAGAGGCAAAGGCTACTATAAGAAGAGAAGGGAAGAGAAAGGTGGTGGGGGAGTTTTGGGGGAGGGAGAGGAGGCGGAAGAGTGCGAGTTGAATGTGACTGTGAAACGCGACTGCGAGCGATGGCAGATGGCGGTGATGGCGGTGATGGAACAGTTCAGCGGTAGTTAGTTAACTAGTTATTTATTAACCGGTTAACCTTTTTTTCTTCAGCTGGGGAGGAGAACTTGTCATTGCTTTCTTTCTGTATTTTTAATCCTATTACTCTGCTAGATGTTTCCTTTAACTACTTGTGCTTTGGCTAACTATTATATTTAATACGACTGTATAAGTACTTTTTTCCTCTCCTGTTCATCTAAATATATAATAAAACTAACCTGGATCTCTTCTCTACTCCATCAAACAACAACCATTTAAGCTTTTGTTTACGATGAGCAACCCAAGCCAATTGGGCACCACTGACCGTTCACACCAACGGACCCCAGGGCGCTGCTGGCCCTGGTTCGAAGCGCTATTCTTGGGATCTCGTTGGCCAAAACTATAGATTGGGTGTCCATGACAAGTCATATTAGGTATAGGAAAATCCCCGACAGCCATGATTTGGAGAAACAGCCAATTCAACCTGCTGCTATATCCACTATCCACCCGCAAAATACGATCACATCTGCTGGCCTTTTTAACTCATGACTATGAGAAGCATTACGCGAAAGCTGCAGGTGAAACTTCAGCACTGGACTCCATGCGCATGGTATTGTCATCCATGAAACTGGCCGCTCCATCCAATGATGTGCTATTCCGGCGCCCAAGACAGATAAACGTGGTTGGTTGGGCTGCCGCAACACCTTCGCCTCGATTGTCAGGCTAAAGCCCAAAAGTGGGACATCAAATGCAGTGGTGATGAAAAGGGTGGTATGTAAGTGATGTATAGTTCATGTATGACTAAATAATTTCTTAAGGAGGGCATATTATCGTGTTTTTTTTTTTTTTTTTTTCTGCTGAATAAAAGTAGGAAGAGATAACTAGTTACCCGTTGAATTATCTAGAACACTCACGACGGTTAAACGCTCACAAAGCTCGGACAGAGGAGCTGTGAAGTGATATTGTATGATATTATATATGATTTAGCGGCATGAATACTCCTTACAGAGTATGATACAGTTCAGCCACTATAATTACTTTCAAGAAACTAGATCAATATTATGCGATTCTCGAGCCAACTGGAAGCAACCACTGTACGTACCCAAGGCTCTGGCGCCGAGCAGGACATTGAACCCCAAAGCCGTCCGTGAATACTTCCATCCACCGCGTTGAGCTTTGTAGGATACTAGCTCCTTTCCGGAAATTTCCCATTTACCATATGAATGGATACATGATGATTCCGCCATTCGGGATAAACTTTCATATCATTGGCAATTAATTAAAAAATCGACGGGGCATGCTCCTCGCCTATGATAGCATAACTATTGCAAGATGTTAGGATAGGCAAGGCGAGGAATGATTTGTAGAATCGACAGCCGTAATCATAAACGGAAAGACCGCATTCTGTCAGCCTCTTTCTCCAATCACTACGGACTAGCCAGTCAGTAGCTTCTCTCGCGGCGGCTGTTGTTGGCATTATTGATGAATTATTGATTGTTACGGCCATTTATTACGCTGTAGTTAGTTATCACGCGAATATTTAGCTGCTGCGCCAAGATATTTCGACGCTAGAGCCGTCCACCTATAAAAAGCTTTCTCCCCCAATTTTTGCTTCCAACTTTTTTTTCCTCCCTTCGATAATAAGAAAAGCTGGGAGAGATATGTCCATTCCTCACACAATACTTTTTTTACAATGAATCAAGAATAAATAAAATAGCAATCCTCTGCAAGACCTCTTGGATCTTGCCATCAATATGTCTGTGCAAACTCCAACCACTTCCCAAGAGGAGGAAATTTTGTCAGATGAACAGATCCAGGATTTGCTTCTGGAGGCAGAGACACGCCTTCGTTCTTCTTCCCGAGGCACTTTGCGTTCTTCAGCTGATGCAGTAGCTGCTTCTAGCTCTTTAAGGTATAGTCGTTCATGGATGTTTATTTTGTCATTGTCAAGCGTTCGCTCAGAGACTAACAATACTTTCAAGGCTTCCCGCGCTTGATTCCGTTCGAACTGTTCAACCTTATATTCGCAAACAAGACGATGTTGCTGTCTTTGACCAGTCTCGAGCCATCACTGCTGAGCAGAAAAAGCTCTCAGAAACCATACGTTCAATTTTCCAAGCCACTAATCCCAAAACCAAGGAGGTGAGTTGCTATTTTCGATTCTCGCGACCCCGCCCCTCTCGCTTTGCGCTTCTTCCACTACGGTGTTTTGATGAAGATATTTACCGCTTCTAGCGCTTGATACAGTTTTACTAGCCCGTCTTGGGCTACGCTGTTTCCGTGAAAGCTCTCTTTATTCATAGTTACTCTGAACACCCTTATCTCATATTCTTTCCCCTGATTCTTTTCTAAGTTCTTGGTTTGAATTTGAGAGGAAATGTACTGACCCCTTATTATTAGCCAAAGGAAAAGCCAACCGCAGGATCTGACTGGTTCAACCTCCCCAAGACAAATCTCACCCCGGAACTGAAAAGGGATCTCCAGCTTCTCCGAATGAGACCGGTGCTCGACCCTCATCGACACTACAAGAAAGATAACAGCAAAGCGAAAGTGCCGGAATATTCCCAAGTTGGTACCATCATAGAAGGCCCTACTGAGTTCTTTAGCGCTCGGATTCCCAAGAAGCTGCGGAAACGGACTTTCGTGGAAGAAGCTATGGCGACCGAGAAAGAGAGCGGCCGCTTCCGCCGAAAATATGAGGAAATCCAGGCCGCCAAAACTAGTGGAAAGACAGCCCACTACAAAGCTGTTAAAGCCAAGCGTTCCAAGGGAACGAAATTTGGTTGAAATACTATTCATGATTCTACTGGAAGTTTTATGTAGAAGCTACCTAGGTAGTTCACCCGCCGATCGTCAAGGAGATATCCAATCTCTAACACAGTTCGATATCCAACACCACCAAGTCGAATCGATACAAACGCGACAGTCTAATTAATTTTCGGCTGCCGCAAAAATATCTACCAGTGCCTGCTGTACTAGTGTCTATCGCACACCACGCCGGTCAGCTATGCAATGTGGGAGAAGCAAAGCGAAGGATAAAGTGCAACACGTACCTGCACATCTACAGCCGCAAGCCTGCCCGCCTCAAGAACTTCTTCATGCGTCGCCTTGCCCTCCTCGACGATGGTGTCGAGCTCCTCCACTGTCGAATGTTCCAAAAGCCTGTCATCTCCACGCGGGACTGGAGCCAAGACCGCCTTATTCGTCACCAGGCTTAGTGCGAGTACCTTAATCCCACAGTGCCGTGCCACTATGATCTCAGGAACCGTTGACATCCCAACAAGGTCTGCACCAAGCTGTCTTAATAGTCGGCATTCAGCCCTCGTCTCATAGCTTGTTACTGGTCAGCATTGCATCGGCTGGTAAACATATATTCATCGCAAACCTTCGTAATTCTTTCTTCTTACCTTGGTCCTCCAACAAATGCATAGACACCCTCATGCAGCCGTCTTTTATTTTCTGCCCCTATCACTTTTCCCCAAGCGTGGTGGATAGTCCTGCGAAGCCCAATGTCATAGGCATCTGACAGAGCAGGAAACCTAACGCCAAATTCCTCTTCATTCGGGCCACGAAGTGGATGTATTCCGGCAAGACCGGCAAGAAAGATATGCTATCACAACGTCAGCTCATCTGGCTTTTCGCGTCTGTTTATAACCGAAGAACAAGGGAGCCATACATCACTCAGCACTACAATATCCCCAACTTCGTATTCAGGATTCAATCCTCCTGATGCATTTGTGACTTAATTCATTTGAATATGAGCAATAAGTTTATCCAGTATAAGGGCTAGCAATAAATTATAATAATACAATGAGAAAGGATATATCTCACCAATGATCATTTCATTCCTAGTAACTTGAAGAGCCGGACGGGGAACGTGACTTGGTCGACCGTGTGTCCTTCATAATAGCTGGTGCGAGGCAGGTTATATATCAAAATCCAATACAATTAGGGAGAAGTAATTTCTTGATTGATATGACAAACGTACTGTGATCGACCAACCATCAATATCCCCAGGAATATCTGTCCCCAAGAATGCCGAAGACGAGTTTGCCGATATGACCAGGGACTATGCAAGGGAATTAGCATTCACCATCCATCGTTGATATGTATAGATAGATAGCTAGTATATAGGAAAGCAGCTAGTTTTACCGGTTGAAGTGGGAAAATGCGGGATCGACCCATATTCAAATTCAGCTCTGGGACTCTCGCTCACTGATGATGCAAGTCCGCCTAGGCCCGATCCGCAAATTATGGCAAATCGGGGCTTTTGAAGTTCGGCTGGCAAACGCTCACGCAGATAGGCGCAGGCTTCCTGCGCTTGCTGGAAGATAGATTGTTTGCCCATGTTTTGTATTCTTTGGAATATCTACGGAAGGTGGTATGGGAAGAGTCGAGGAACATGGACTGGAAGTTTGGATTTTGAAATAGATGCTATGAGTGAGATACTAAGGAGTAGGTTCCAACAACGAATTGCTTTCAAGAGGGCGAATATGTCCTCATTGTTTTTACCCGCATCCATATTGTCGGAGCCCGCCGCCCCAGTTCTGCCAGCGACTTCAGGATTAATGCCGCTGCCAGAACGACATTAGTCATTTTGCATTTGGGAAAGAAAATGAAGAAAATACTCTATACTGCTTCCACTATCAAACTGCTTACGCATACAGGCTAATTATAATTATTATTGGTAACGTTAAAGCAAATGTTCGCGGAAGACATTTGGTACCCGCGAAATACGTGTAAGTCGCTAGCAATATGAAGTACCCCTGAATCAGAGCTGTGATTGGGTGGTTGGTGGCATGTCGTCTTATGTAACACAAACTTTTCAAAGAACTTTTTGAGGATCAACCTTGGAAATAATAGCCCACGGCAGGATATCACGTCAAGAGGCGCAAACTCCATCAGTATCGGACCAGGAGGACCTCCTTCTTCTCTCAATATGTTTTCTGCAAATTCCGTGCGCTCTGTATGGAGGAGTAATAAAAGGCTAAAAGTGTGTGACATGAGTCTTCCACTCCATCGTTTCGCCAATGCCCTAACCCAATTCGCAGATATCAAATCCTTCTCGACCCATTTCAATCTCGCATCCGCCGGCCCAGGAGAGCGGCTCTCCCAGCGCGCATAATCCGAGTTCTAATGCTGTCTCTAGCGAAATAAGGTCGGGTTCAGACTGTATTATTTGGCTTAACTTCCCAATGGCTAATGGTTATCCTTTTCCTGCAGAATACCCTCCGCACCTCTTGAGAGCACCCCGAAGGAATGGTAAAGGCTCCTCCCAACTTCACCTCCCAAATTTCAGACCCCGTGCTCATCTTGGTATAGGGCGGAGAGATTAGACCAGATCGGTAGCAAATTCCGGCTACCGCGTAATGTGCAAGCCGTATACCTGAAGCCCTTGCGACGAAAAGCAGAATTCGGCCTTCCAGTCTGTGACCTCCAGCTCCGATCATACAGCGCACGACATGTCGAGTTCTTCGCCGACTTTGCGCTCAGAGCGGCATATTACCTGAACCTCCCTGCTTTCGGACCTGCGCCTCTTCCACGAATTACGGAACGCTGGACTGTCTTGAAAAGCAATTTCGCTCACAAGAAGTCCCAGGAGAATTTCGAGAGAGTAACGCTTCGTCGATTAATTCAGATTAAGGATGGCCATCCTGATGTCGTTCAGACGTGGTTGGCCTTTCTACGAAAACATGCGTTCCATGGAGTTGGTATGAAAGCGAATGTTTGGGACCATAGTCCAATAGGTATGATGCTCCCCCAACTTTTCTCGATTTGTCCGTAGCATGTGACAGGTTTCTAATTAAATTAAAAATTTTAGGCGTTGGGAAATCGATGGATGAGACGGCTGCTGAGTTGGACACCGCAATTGAGGAAAAACTTGCCAACTTCGGCTCTAGCAAGAAGGCATTGGAGCAAGCGGAATCAGTTGCTGATTTGGTAGACAGAAGGAAATTTATCAATAACAATAGCCGCTGAGATTCGGGTATTTTAAGGGGTTTTATATGCATGGAGCTTGTATATCATTTGGCCATATCTTTGTGTTTCCTTGTGTACTAAAATAAATTATAAATTCGTATATTGAAGTGTAAATTGCACCATAAACCTATAGGCATTCCATTCCTCCCAAAACATGTAACCCTAGTCCGTACCGGACAGCGCTATATACTCATAAAAGCTCCAAAAGAAGGAAATGGTCCCCATACTGTTTAGTATAGAATGTCTCCTGGGGCGGCGAGGTCCGCGGCATTCCTCTATTTATGCGAGCACGTGAGGCAATTTTGAGGCTTGTTGGGTGGGGGTGAGGAATCTTTACAACCACCTAACAGCAACATTTCTGCAAGTTCTCCAATTGATCGCAAAACATCTAGGTATGTCCGCTATATTCCAGCGGGCACATCCGGTATATTCCGTGAGAAATGCTTCTAGGTTCTTATTCCGACAATTGAAACCCTCCCGTTCACTGTGTCCGCGACAATGTCGACGAAACGCCTCAGCCACCAAATGCGCTTCCACTTCGAATGACCGCATCATTTTCTCAGGCATCCAACCGACCGGGGTCCCTCACTTGGGCAATTACTTAGGAGCGCTGCGGCAGTGGGTTCTGCTGCAAAACGAAGCTGTGCCTTCTACGAAGTTGATATTCTCCATCGTGGATCTCCATGCCCTCACCGTTCCACAGGACCCTACAATACTTCGACAATGGCGGAAACAGCTGCTGGCTACATTGATAGCTGTCGGGATTAACCCGAAACGGTCCACTATCTTTTTCCAGTCTGCGGTACGGTTTTTGCTTTGCATTTTCTTCACGAAACGCGAATCGCAATACAAGCGCATCGAGTTGGGAAGACAAATGAAATGGTTAACCGCTAGCTAACAGCAGCCAGGTGCCAGCGCATTCGGAATTGATGTGGATCTTAAGCACGATATCTTCGATAGGATACCTATCAAGGATGACACAGTGGAAAGTGAGTGCAGCTCTCTCTGATGGCGACACGCCGCAAAACTCTTCCGCTAAGAATTGTCACAAGAGTAAACTACAATTGCCAGAGGAATCTACATTGGATAATTCAGACGCCAAGTCGCGGCTTAAACTTGGGCTTTTTTCCTACCCAGTGCTTCAAGCGGCGGATGTGCTCGTACACAGGTATGGGTGGTGTGATTCACTTGCTACTTATGCTAGGATTGGCACGAATAATAGAAAAACAGAGCAACCGATGTGCCCGTAGGGGAAGATCAAAAGCAGCACCTTGAGTTTACGCGGGAAATTGCCAACGGCTTCAACCACATATATGGTCCGGTGCTCGTCATGCCATCTCCATTGATATGTAAGCATCATGAACATCAACATATTGAATCGAAATGTTGACAGAAAGAAACCGAAAATAGCGCCGGCGAAACGCGTTATGTCACTCAAACAGCCAACATTGAAAATGTCTAAATCGCACATCGACCCCCGATCTCGAATTCTTCTCACAGACTCGGCGGAGGAAATTCATCAAAAGATAAAACTTGCCCTCACGGACTCTGAACCGGGAATTAGCTATGACCGTTCCAAGCGACCCGGTGTTTCTAACCTTATCGAGATTCTCAGCCATGTTCAGGGAGGAGCAGGTGGAAGCATGGCCTTTGCAGAATTGGGGCGGGAACACCAACATTTGAGCATGCGTGCCTTCAAGGAGCATGTAGCTAACTCGCTCACGGAGCATTTGAAAGGAATTCGGGAAAAGTATTTGGAACTTACAAGTAACACCTCCAGCTATATTGACACTATTGCAGAAGATGGTGCCAAGTTTGCCAGGAGAAATGCCGATATCACGTTGAAAAGTGTCAAAGATACTTTGGGGCTTTCGTGATCGAAAGATTTCTGTATAATATGTATAGTCAAGTACTAACGAAGGATTATTATTACATAAAAATGTTTTTGTAGCACATGAGTCTTGATGTGCTAATTATTGCAGAGCTAGTCTACATTAGGAAGCAACAATTCTACAGGTGAACTGGTATGTAGTAGACGGGAAATTTCCAGTATTATGACGGGGGTCAAGCGCTCGCTTACGCTCGGGGTGGGGGTTGGGGGGCGCGAG